CAGTGTGTGCGCGTGTAATTTATGCTTTAGCAAAATACATCACGCGTGTTCTCGAGTATTTTCGAGAAATCACCTGCAAAAGATATCGTCAGGTATAAACGAGCGCGGATCGTTTGTTGTCGACGGGAAGAAAAAAAGCGGAGGGCGACACGGACGAACGAACCCGAGAATGTTTCTTCGGTCAAGTAAAGAATCGACAGATTTCGCGTACGCGTTCGGGAGGAAGGGAGGGAAATATGTTCGGTGCCGCTCGTAAAAATCGAACTTCCTCGCTTTGACGAAAAAAGGCAGAAAAAACACGCGGGGTCGTTAAACCCGATAACGCTAGAAGTCCTGCCAAAGCCACATGAGAATCGTAACGCGAAAAGAAATTTCATCCTCTCCTTGTTTTCGCTCTTTTTTTTTTTTTTTTGCTTTCTCGCGAGTCCGGTATCTACGTGTCGACGCGACGATCGTTTTTCGACGAACAAGCGAAAAAAAACACGCGAAAATAAAGACGCTCGTATCCCCCTGAGACGCATTTACATGCAAGATAAACTATTGTGTAACGTCCGCGACATTTTTCTATTTTATTTTCTGATCATACTTTGTATTGTTTGATTACGACACTCGTCACGGGCGTGATACGATCCCCCGAGAAAACGGGGGAGAAAAAGGTCAATTAACGCTTCTTAATTAATTGCAATAGTCGCGCGATTCTCAGAAAAGAATCACGCAGAAAAACTTGGTTGGTTGACGACTGAACGAAGAATAAACAAACACAAGAATACAAAAAAGACGCAATTTAAATAATAAAACGCTACACTAATTCTAAGAATAAATAAAAATGTTCAATATATATATACAAATGTTGGTTTTTTTTGTTTTACAAAAACCTGTCGGCTTTATGTTATTTAACTCTTCGCACTGCACACAGACGTCTCAAGTTTATTAAAAAACAAAACCACCACAGAGGTAAAATTTTAGAAGAAAAACCGCGCATCAAGCTTCGCTCGATAACAAATTAACTTTTATCAAGACCACCAGTGTACATAACACTCTTGTATCTGTGTGCAGTTGATAACCACATTCAATATTATGCTTGCTTTACTCTCGAAGGTTGATGGTTTCATATGTTAGAATTACGCGAAATGTCAATGACTTGTCTATACGCAATCAATAAGTACGCAAAAAAAGTAAAAAAAAAAAGAATAAACTCAAACATGAATTTGTTTTCTTTGAGTGAACAATCAATTACGCAATCGTGAAAACAATGAAAATGTATCTTGTGTCTTAATAAAAGAGAAAAATACGATATTGCGAAAATTATAACAATTCGAATAATTCGCACCGAATATATGAAATTTCTATCTCATTATTTTAATTAACACAATCATATTAATCACGATCATATTTTGCAATTTTGACAGATTATGTTCGATAAACAAGTTTTTATCGATCACGTATTTTTGTTTTTTGTTTTTGTTTTTTGTTTTTTGAGACTCGTTCGAGTTAAATAACATCTAATTCCAACACTCTCGTCTTTTGTTTCTGCTCGCGCAGTAATTTAATGTTTGTCATTATGCAACAAAAGCTTGTGGAGCTCGAAAAGAGGGCAACGTTCTCGTTGCATACGTTACGCGCGTGCATTCGCGAGATTAAATGCACAGACGACAATGCAAACTGCAAAACGTCAACAAGCGGACGAGTGCGCTTCTTTTTTTTCTTTTTGCCGAAACACAAAAAAATCCACGTTTTTATTAAATTCCATCTGCGAGAGAAAACGCACGTGGACTCTCTGACACGTGCGCTACTGTCAAACGGTTAAATGGTACGTGACCCGCGCGTACGTAAACAAAAACGTGACCTCTCTTCGACAATCTGCTGCGATTTTCGGAGCATAACGCGCGTGCAAAAACTTAAATTCAAATTTGTTCCGGTAACATTAAGGATTTCGTTAAGTTCCGTTTGAATGTCGAACATGACGTGATATACAAGATATTGAGTACAAACACCACTATCGATCTTTCAACCCCGATACTGCTCGTCTATCGCTACGCACGTAGCGATCACATAGTGAGCGATTCAATTTTGTTTGACTTCGCAGCTCCGATAATCGTTCTCAAACGCTCGTTTGTGATATGTAAACAACGCGTGTAAGTCACTCACCGCAAACGTTGAGCCAGCCCTCGACGCGGCAGGGATATTCCAACTTCATCTTCGCTCCCTTATGCTCTGATCGTGCAAAATCCAGGTCGCCGATGATGTTCTCCCCCACGAGTAACAGGTCCCACCGATCATGCAGATATCCTCCTCCTCTTCGATCCGATTGTCACTGGGAAACGACGATCGCGACGGCGGCAGCGACGGCGACGGCGACACACATTCTTCGCGGAAGGCGCGACGCGGCGCGAACACGCGAATTTTTCTCGCGGTTCGGTTTTTTTTTTTTTTTTTTTTAATTCAATCTCTCTCTGTCACGCGGCACAAAAATTGACACACGGAATTACTGAACGACGATAACGTGAAAACACCGACTTCGGTTCTGCACGGGACGCATGCAAAAAAAGGAGTGCGCAAAATTTCGGCGAATAACGTGATTATTTTCGCGTTGATGTACACACTCTCGTGCGAGCACGACGACGTAGCGCCACACGAACACAACGACGAACGAAACTGAACTGAGTCGCGCGAGCGGCGTGGCGACTGATTTCGACTTCCCCCACGAGCGCGCCGATAGCGCTGGCGTCTCTGCCGGTTCTCCGTCTCTCTCGCACGTCTGCACCTCTGTTTCTCGCTTCTCTCGCTCTCGTCAGGTCTTCAGCTCGTTTCTATTGCTTGTTTATCGTTACGGAGAAAGAGATTTTGAATTGCAAAGTCCATAATCACCGACTGAATCTCAATAGATGACATAAAATTGTCGAAATAAACGCGAGTTAGAAATGAGAGCAAGAGAAAGAGGGAGAGAAGCGGAGTTTATTATTCGCAAAGTTTACCTGACCAACATGTAATTCACATTCGTTTATTAATCCATTGTCACAGTTGATTCTGTTAATTTCAATATTTTATATCTTGTCCTGAGATTTGCTGTAGGTACAAACACCGCATCTCGAAACGCGTCGTATCTTGATTCTGACGCCGCGATATCGCGCGATTTTATTCGCCGTTCCGCGAAACGCGTACGACAATCTCGATCACTTACAAAAAAATATAAACTTACCGCGACTTCGAATCTCGCTATTGTTCCGAATCGAATCGCGTAATAACAATGAGAAAAACAACAAAGTTATTACGGAGTACGACTTGCGCGCAACGCGATCCGCGAAACTGTAATGGCGGACGGAGCGTCTCGACTTGGAAATATCGCGGCAACGTTCACTGAGTTACGATGCATGTTTCGCCTGCGAGCAAGTATATTTTATCAAATATTCTGAGATCCTGTGCACGCTATGCTTTCTGAGAATTTAGAAACGATCAAAGCTTGTTGTGATTGTCGCAAAATGTGTTTCGAAAGATAAATATCGAAAATATATTTAGATTTCTCTCGTCTGTTTCCGCTATAAATTTCGACCAAATTCCTTGAGAGTCAATTACTATTTGTTTAAATAAATCTACTATTAAACAAATTAATAACTAATTACAATAACATTCGAATTTGAACACACAAACAGTTGGCAATCAAGTTACGATCTTATTGTCGGAAGTGGGAGTCGATATATGAGTTTGCTTTTTTTCGAAAAACATTTTATATATACAAAACATAATTACAATACAAAATACCGTGCGTAAGGTGCATAATCAATCAAGTAATACCTGAATAAAACTTGTGAAAAAAGAGAAAACGGAAGAGACGCCCGCATCTCGTGCGGTTAATGACGGCGAAAGGACCGACGTTCGTTGCGCGCTAAATTGGCGCGCAGCGGCCATTGCTGCCACCTTCGGCTACCGAACTCGATCGCCAGAATCGATTAATCGCATCGGACGATTATTCGTTCAATCAGAGAGAATACTGTGAACGGTCAGGCTCTTTAAGAGCCGTCTACAATGGAGAGTTGTAGGCCGTAACAGTAAGAAATTGACAAATCACAATCGATTATTCTTCTGTCTGTGATTGGTCAATTTCTTACTATTACGGCCTACAACTCTCCATTGTAGACGGCTCTTTACAGGGCGGAAAAACTATTACACATTCTTTTACGGGACTGGTCGCTCCCAGGTCCGAATTCATAGTCGTTTCTCAAATCTTAGATCTCGTAAAATATATTTGGACTCGTGCACATAGCACAGAATACAACCGCACGCTGTGAACATAGCGAGGAATAGAACCGTGTCCACATTTGGACATAGCGCACGCACCGACAAGTTGCTCGTGGATATGGTTATGTAGTTGCCAATGTGCACCATCTATGGACATAGCGCTGGCTTGGAGAGCGAAAAAGTGATTACACATTTTTCTATGGGCCTGGCTGCTCTCAGGCTTTTTTCTGCTTTCATACTCTCGCTCAGTTATGAAAAACCGAATGAGTAGCAGCTACATTGATATTTAAGATTGGAGATTCGAGATCTGAGAGCTGAAATTTGAGATTGGAGACGAGATCTAAGATTTGTGAAACAACTATGAATTCGGGACCCCAGCCTTCTCTCTGCTTTTTGGAACGAAAACCTGAAGAAGCCGTCAGTTATGTTTGTTCGATTTACGCGTATTTTATGTTTCACTTTTCTGCCACTTAGTGAACGCTGAGATGCTGTTAATCTTTATTACAATGTAATAATACCGAGTAGCATCTCATAGTTATGTACATAGTCGAAGTTCCAATTAATCGGTCAGCGGGATTTGCAGCCCTGAATACGTCGCGCGCGCTCCCTGGTGTCCGGGTGGGAAGCTCGGCGAGTCAGCAAAATGGCGCTCAAGGGACAAGTCGGTCAAAGTGAGTAGCATAAAAAAACGCAAATTTCAAACACACCGGACACACTATCGCGTTAAACATTATTGTGCGATATTGTCGGTCGTAACTTGCGCTACGTCAATTATGTCGATTTTTCGTCAATTGTTCCTCGTGTCATGTCACGTCGTAAATTTCACCGCCCATCTTTCGGTATGACTAATGTCGACGGCTGGGTGATGACACGGAAATGTCAAACGTAGATTAAAAAATAGACACAAACGAAACGCCCGATTTTTTTGTCTCGCGATCTAACGAGCGATCGAAATGGAATCCAAGCCTCGGTATAACATCGACGAGTTGTTTTTGGATTAACTGCGAACGCAGAATAGTCCACTTTGCGCCGTGTTGTTGTGTATAAACACAAATCATTCCTGTGTCCGCGGTGTCAGTTTGCTTGCTTCTATTGACTGTTGATTTTCTCTAATCTTTGATTTATATGTGTCTATATGTATTTTTAGTTGTGCATATTATTCCTGTTTTCGGAAGAATAACGATTATCGAACACGCAGCTCGCAAACGTCGAGAGATTTACGGGACCGTTACGTGAATAATCTGACAAAAATTTCTTTCTGTTTTTTTTCTTTAAGTATTTTTTGCGTGCCCTTTAACCGTCAACGCGATTTTTGCGAGTATGTACGTTTTTTCTCTTCGTAAAACTGGTACTCTTGCTCTTTGTGTCTTGGCTATGCAAGATAGAGATCTCTCACGCCCTATGTTGGTTTATCTATAAATACACTAATCAGTCACGTCGATATCGCAAACAAAAAGTACAAGCGATGTGCCAGTTTCACCGCAACGCGAAGTTTTCATCGGCAATTTGCGTCTTTTCGTGGAAGAATAACTGTTGCTACTGGAAGTTACTTAACAAGATTAAATGACGTGTTTAAATGACGATAAAACGTTTTAAAATGTATTATCAGAGTAGGAAGCATGTCGCACGAGTGAGCTGAACGTGTACATTTTTCAAATAAAACTTGTTAATGAATTTTTAATGCATTTTTGAAAGGCGTAACTTCAACGTTGTTTTCATGCTCTATTTTTAACGATACTATCGTACATGAAATAAAATAAATTTTACATTTAATATATTTTCAACGATTGTTCAACAATTAATCTCGAAACAGAATTTTTTTCGTAATAATCTTTGTGACTCGCTAAGTGATCCAAGTAGTAAATCTTTGTGTTTCTGTGTCGTCAGAGATGACGTCTAAGATCGCGAAGTTGGTTCTTTCGGACAACGAAAAAACTTTTCTTTGTCTCTTATGTTTACACAAATACGTTGATTTTTTTTAATTGAAAAGAAAGTTTGGAAAAACTGGGCATGTAACTTTCTTGATACGCGCCTGAACGTAGTGACGTCATTCTGAAGACGATCAATATACGTTTTAGCTCTGCGCCGCACACACACACACACTATGTGCGCGATTCATGATTTGTATGAGATTTATATTATTTTCCCAAGAAAACGCCTTTGCGTGTCCAACATGAGTATGAAAATCGAACCACAGCGTCCTTGCAAATTCAAGGAGCAAAAAAATAAGACGTGCAAATGCAACGAATATTTTCTTTAATTTTTTTAAATAAATCAATATTCCCAGAAAAATTGATTGTCAATTGATTGTTTATTTCATTGTCAATGATTTGTACAAAGTCAACTATATTTGGTCCTTGACGACTGCACGATTTTGTTTTGTTAACACTAGATATACCAGCTATTTAAATATACCTATTAAAAAATACAAAAAATATATTTGTTACGAATATATATATAAAGTAACATTAAGTTCATAAAATGTATTCTCTACTTATAGCTACAAAAGTCATAACATCAAGCTTCGAAAAGCAAATGTTACATGCAGTAAAAATTTTGAATTGAAATTGCACGACCAGTCAAAATGACTGGTCTGGTAAATCTAGTGTTAATCAAATTACTTTGCTACTTTTTTCAACTTTTATGATTATTGTTTCATCTCAAAATTATTCAAGAAAACAGCAAACTTAAGGGATTGTTGAGAAAGCGTGTTTTTCTTTCAACGAATTCTCACAAGAAATCTTTCACACGTCTCGCAGAGATTATGAATGAGGTGATCAAGCAAAAGAAGAAAACAACAGGCGGCGTGGAATGGCGGATTCTGGTGGTGGATCAGCTCGCGATGAGGATGGTGTCCGCGTGCTGCAAAATGCACGATATCAGCGCGCAGGGTATCACCCTGGTTGAGGATATCAACAAGAAGCGCGAGCCACTGCCAACGATGGAGGCCATTTACCTTATCACGCCCTGCAACTCGTCGGTGCAGAAGCTGATCGACGACTTCAGCAATCCCACGAGAACCACTTACAAGGTTGCCCACGTGTACTTTACGGAAGGTATATGTCGCAGCAAATCACGCGTATTCTCTCTTGGAATATGCGCCTCTTGTATCCTCCTTCCTCCCGTAACGAAAATCCGAGCGATAATTTGTTTTTCTTCTTCCACGAGATCTCGCGCAATTTCGGAAATTTGGAGATTTTGAAAAAAAATTTCAAACTCTTTCCAAAACTTTTTCGATCGATCAATACATTTGTCAATAATTTTTCTTGGGAAATTGCAAAATACAGATTATTTCACAACCTCAATATAAATAAATCAAGAACAGTCGGACCAATATTTTTGTTTTTCAAATTTGCCGTGATGATCCGACATACTCAGTATATTTCTTTGCAGTGTGCCCTGACGAGTTGTTCAAAGATTTGTGTCACTCGCTGGTAGCTAAGCGCATAAAGACACTAAAAGAGATCAACATCGCTTTCATACCTTACGAAGAGCAGGTAAAACAACGAACATTTATATGAAAAGGAAAATGTGTTTGAAATGCGTCTCGTCTTATGGTGGCGGGCACCACGTATACATGTTCATATAAATATTTTTTAATACATACACATACACACATATTAATACTACTGTTCGTTACTGTGTCGATCTGTGTTCACTTCTCGGTCTCTAATCACGTGAATTTTAGTCGCACCGGGTCACTCGGATATCGGTTATAGATCGTTAAAAGCGATGTTTACATCTCTCATCCAAGACCTATCCAAAGTCTGTCCCTAAAGCCTCTAACACGATTCACGTGCAAGCATCACATACTAATAATCAGAATGCATTCATGCTCGCACTCGATGCCCAGTATGCCCGGAGGAGCTGTTCAATGAAATCTGCAAGTCTCTCGCCGCTAAAAAGATCAAAACCCTCAAAGAGATCAACATCGCATTCCTGCCGTACGAATCGCAGGTGACGATTAAGCAGACGAAACTAGTAGACGCAAACACATAGTAGTCGTAGTTTTTTAAAGGAGCGTATATCGAGGCTTTTAAAAATAATATAGAAAATATCTTTCGTTCGTCGAATCTCTCGTATCTCATGAGCTTGGAAAATTTCTCTGCTTCTTCGGATTTTGTCGGTTTACTTGGTTGCGAAAGACGCAGGCGATAGACTTCCTCTCGCCGTAGAGAAACTTCTCGTCATTGTTTTTCCTTTCGACTCAAGAATATCGACATGCCATGCATAATTATGCCTGCAGTGTGATTTATACTAATTAATCGTCCAGTCTGAGATTGCATTACTTTTGGAAAATTACTAATCGGCATGCTGCTTGTCTAATTCGCTTTGAGTTTAAAGATTTATAGATATAGAAAATTATAACAAAATTATCGCAAAACTGCATTTCTCGTGATGTAGGTTTTCTCGTTGGACTCGCGCGAGACCTTTGCCTGCTTTTACAATCCCTCTTTCTTCAACCTGCGACCGGCTAACATGGAGCGCATCGCCGAGCAAATTGCAACGCTCTGCGCCACTCTCGGAGAATATCCATCAGTCAGATATCGCAGGTAAATTGGTTATCGTTAAACGCGACTTTGCGTTAATCAAACAAATAGCAAAAACAAAGAAATCTGCCGCAGTGATTTTGATCGCAATGTCGAGCTGGCGCAGTTGGTGCAGCAGAAACTGGACGCGTACAAAGCTGATGAGCCGACGATGGGAGAAGGGCCTGAAAAGGCACGTTCTCAGTTGCTGATTTTGGACAGAGGATTCGACTGCGTCTCACCTTTGCTGCACGAACTTACACTGCAAGCCATGGCGTACGACTTGTTGGACATTGACAACGATGTCTACAGGTAAAGTAAAAAATCGCGCATTTAAAAACAAAAAACTTTGATAAATCTAACGTTTAAAATAGGTTTGAGGCAACTCAGGGTCAGGAGAAGGAAGTGTTGTTGGACGAAAACGACGACTTGTGGGTGGACCTCAGGCACCAGCATATTGCTGTAGTATCTCAGTACGTGTATACAAAAATGAGTTGAAATGTTTTCCTGAATGATTAACAATTACAGAGAGCGTTAACAAGTGTGTCCTGTTTTTCAGGAACGTGACCAAGAATTTGAAAAAGTTTACAGAATCAAAAAGAATGCCGCAGGGCGACAAGCAGAGCATGCGAGACCTGTCGCAGATGATCAAAAAGATGCCGCAATATCAAAAAGAGCTGAGTAAATATGCCACGCATTTGCAATTAGCTGAAGACTGCATGAAGCGTTATCAAGGAAACGTAGATAAGCTTTGTAAAGTGGAACAAGTACGTTTTTACTTTTGCTCTTTCTCAACTTGATAAAAGATGCTCATTTAAACACATGTCTTCAAATGCATTCATTCTAGGACTTAGCTATGGGCACCGACGCGGAAGGCGAACGCATCAAAGATCATATGAGGAACATCACGCCGATACTACTCGATCAGACCGTGAATCATTTGGACAAATTGCGTATCATCGCTTTATACGTCATTAGTAAAAATGGCATCAGCGACGAAAATCTAAATCGTTTGGTTCACCACGCTCAGATATCGGTCGATGACAAGCAGACCATCGTCAACATAGGAAATCTCGGCATCAATGTTCTAGACGTAATCTATACATATTATACATTAATAAAATTTAGTAACATTTTTTACACTTTACAATATTCTGTGCAGACCAATCGCAAGAAGCAATACACAGTACCGCGCAAGGAAAGAATCACGGAACAAACCTATCAAATGAGCCGTTGGACTCCGATCATCAAGGACATTATGGAAGATTGCATCGAGGATAAGCTTGATTCAAAACATTACCCGTTCCTAGCCGGACGCGCAGCTAGTTCGGGATATCATGCGCCAACCAGGTATATTTATAGTAGTGTCTTTTCTCTCTTTTTCTTAAAAATTTAAAGTCATTTAAATTATTTAATAAGTTCCTTAAAACTGTAAATATTTACAGTGCGCGATATGGACACTGGCACAAAGACAAAGGCCAGCAGACTATCAAAAACGTTCCCCGCTTGATTGTTTTCATCATTGGCGGAGTGTGCTTCTCCGAAATACGATGCGCGTACGAAGTTACGAACGCGCTGAAAAATTGGGAAGTCATAATCGGTAAGTGCTCAGGTCCAGCTTTTCTCTCCGAATAAAAAGAAAAGCAAATTCTCATAAGAAAACATTTGTGCATTTTCGTTTCAGGTTCATCCCATATCATTACACCGAAATCATTTCTGAACGACCTGAGTAAACTACATGTCTAAATTAACGCGCAATTAAAACAAAAAAGAAACAACATTCCTATAAAGTTCTCTATGTCATCTTTAGCTTCGACCTCGTCAGTAATACCAGCCGCAAAATCATCGATGATCTCGTACACAAAAAATTAGATTTATTTATTTAAGTAAACAAAAGAGTCAATTCTTTACGCGCCTCGTTTGCGGCGAAAAACCGTATATATGATCTTTATAACTACATGATATATTCGTAGTATATAGTTTATCATTTGAGTAACAATGAAAGTATTCGTGCAACGGAGCACGAAGAGTCTTGATCGGACGCGTTATCCAGAGTCAAGTGCCTGCGCGCGAATACATAAATCGAAGATCGTACGAGACGACAACACGTTGGCAATACTGATGCAAATTGCAATTGGAGATGTACAATGATATCAGGCTCGTGAAAGAACGAGCCACTAATACAACTTTAGAGATGTATTCATATTCAACATATATATATGTTGCATATATATATGTTGCATTAATCCTTGTCTAATAATAAGAAAGAGAATTTGCAAAGAAAAGATGTAAAAACATATGTGTTAGAGAGAAAAAAAGAAAAACCTAGTGATATACTCTGTACATTTCTCGTTACATTAGTATTTTGTTATCGTCTGTTAGTTGAAAGTTACCGTGACCGTGTTAGAGTTAATATTTTAAATGTAGAGCCAATATACAATATAACTTGAGTGTGCACCGCTTTTCAGAAGAAATTTTCATCCCATTGCGATATAGAGACGTTGTATCGCCGATTTGCTTTTGTCCTCTCTTCTAATTCCAGTATTTGAAGCAATTTTGACAGTTAATATTGAAAAGATAACACATTGCCGCGTTATTTATTCGATATTATTTCTCGAAATAGACTTAGCGTTATATATATATTAAATGTAAAATAAACTCTGCGTGTTCAACCTGACGCTTGTTCTTCCTTTGTGTTGACTTATTTATATAAATGTATGAATGTGTACGATGTATGTGTATTATTTTTAATATTTTTCGTGCAATACATACTTCTCGAGTTAATTTAAGTAATTTTCAGTTAACGTTATCATACACACTTAACATAATTCGCATATATACAATGATATTTTACATTCGATATATGTGTAATATCTATTCAGCGCTCTCTCTTTGACAGATCCTATTAGCGATTTATGTAATTTTGTTTGAGAATGTAACGCAGACAGTGTTAGCAATAATGCTATATATATATATAGCGTTACAAAAATACGTGCATCGCAAAACATTCCACTGCAATATCGAATCGCAATTTAACGATTGTGGCAAAAAGGAGCGCTTTCGAACAGAGAATCTTGCGCTTGTTGACGAATGAAGACGATATTATTGTAATGTCAATAAATGTTACGATCTACTTAGCGGAGAAATTATCGCAAAGTTAAATGATATTTATAAAGTATATATTGTTATGTAAATGTATGTATGTGTAGATTCTAGTGGCTGAACGAAGTGTTCTGCTTATAAAGGCCTATGATGCGCTTTATTTAACGTCTCTCTTTAATTATCACCATATTCGCAAGGATTGGAAATCAAAAGCCGACTTGATATACTGTCTCGCTTGGTAGATATCTTTGATACATCGAGTTTCCAAAAGTTATCAATAATAATCGTCAAGGTCATAACAAAACGTTTCTGCACACTCAAAATATGTTTACAGTATTAGAACGAGCTAAACATCAATACTGTTGACTGCCATCTTCTCTGCTTTTGTTTTTTCTGTAATATTTTTTTGTATTCACTCGCTGGTGACAATTGATAAAATATGTCAGATTTAAAGAAAAAAGTGATTCTGGCGTTCAGTGGTTAGACATTTCTTACATACTGTTTTGGTTAAGAGAAGAAGAATTTCAAGTTGTTGCTTGATAAGAATTTTTAATTACACACACACACACGTCTGTCTTTTCTCTGATATATATAAGAAAATCGCATCTGAGATTATTTAGGCGAACATTGGACAAGACGAAGATTTCGAGGCTGTTAAAGAGAAGACGCTCAAAATTGGTGTTATTAAGGTAAAATCTTTTTTTCTGTTGTTTTGCGTAAATTTTGTTACTTAAAAGTTTTTAATTTTTATGACAAAACAGTGAAATGAAACCCAATTGCTTCCGTTTAGATAATTAGCGTAACGATATGTAAATTCGATTGTTTAAAGGTTGTGATAGATGATCTCAAAGAAGCGTTTGTAACTTCTTACGTATGGCCCGCCGTGGCCTGTGGCTTGGTCTACGAGGGAAGATATTTTCTAGGCACTTCCATAGCACGACCGTGCAATTAGTCCGGGTTGGTCAAAGTCGCAAGAGCTGAGAACGCCAATATCATCGCACACGGAATAATCGGAAAAGGGAATGATCAAGTTCGCTTCGAATTGAACTGTTACAGCTTCTGTCCGGAAATTACGGTACTTCTACATTTAAAAAACCTCAAAAATGAAAATTAAAATATTTAATTTTATAGATTCTTGTGTGCAGAATTGTTATATATTCTTTTATGTACTTTAGAAGCATAGAAATTAATTTGTTCCGACATACAGAGAAAGAAAATAATATTTAAAGAAAGTGTTTATAAAATATTTTTGAACATTAAACAGATTTTAACTCCGTGGAGGGAACCAAAGTTTTACACAAGGTTTCAGGGAAGGTCGGACTTACTAGAATACGCGCGAAAAAATAGAATTCTAATTTCAGCAACGCGGGAAGAACCGTGGAGCACTGATGCTAATCTTGTACATATTAGGTAATCCAATATATGTTCTCATTGGACATAATTAAATGCATTGAGAAATTAATTAATATTGTATTTTTGTACGCGCGCGCGCAGTTATGAGTCAGGAATATTGGAGAATCCTGTCATTTCAGCACCGAGAAATCTCTACAAGATGATCAGTGATCCGGTTGATTCTGTCTTAGAAGCGGAAGAGATTGAAATCAGCTTTAAAAAGATATATCCGATTAGCGTGAAGAGAACCAAAACGTTAATTGACACTCCTCTGGAAATTATCGAGTATCTTAACAAAGCCGATGGCGCATACGGTATCGGTAGAATAGATATTATGGAAAATCGTTGGATTGAAGATACACTATCATCAACCTGTGAAGTGTAAACGCATGAAAAGTAAGTTATGTTTATATAATTAAATTTCGCAGTCTCGCGGAATTTACGAGTCACCAGGCGTGAAGATTCTGTACGTAGTACATCAGATTTCTGGAAGTGTTTACTTCAGACCGCAAAGTTTTGAGAATCAAATAATATGACAGAATATCAGATTACGTCTACAACGGTAAAACACAATCAAAAAACTTGTAAATACTCTGAACATACAGACGAAAGATAAGCTGAACTGTATTACGGGATTTTAGTTTTTATCCGAGCGTGACTTTGTACGAAAAAGTATTCAATACTCGTAAAAGTACGTGAACGGTACAGTGAGACTGCAACTACAAAAGAAATGATTAAATCACGGTTTGGAAAAACTCAATTCCGAATATTAAAAGTCATCGAACACATTTGTGTTACCCATAATTTTAAGATATAATCATATGTAAAATATAATAACAATATCTGCAGACAAACCAAATTAAAAACATTAAAACCAAGTTTTAGAAAGAAAGATCTAAGTGACGATAAATGATCTAACAGTAAGAACATCCATTTATCATTACTTTGATGAGAAGTAATTGCTGTCTTTTCTGTTCCTCGTGTAGTGATGGCGATTGGCAGATTGAGCGAAGTTTCGCTATACAACGAGAATCTAGTCTCGATGGATGAAAGATGAATTTGAGCTTGCGGACGCTACTGAATTTGTCTGCACGCAGGCCCTCAGATTGAAAGAGGACCATCGATTCAACGAACTGTCTGAGAATCAACACAAGTTTCAGTTAATAAAACAAAAATAGACACGAACACACTTATCTGAACGTTGTTTAATTAAATCTTAACGTTTACACAGCGCCCGTTTCTTAAAACATAACTATAGATATTCTTTGATAAGATAGAACGATCTAAATATATATGCAGTGAAAACAAAAACTACGCGTATTAGTGTGTGAGAACATAATAACGAACAAATTAATACGTGTTGTACAAAATTGTTGATCTTTTGGCAGATCTTGTAGTTGTATCATATAGTTGAGAAGTGAAAACGTTGAAAAGAGGTGTAAGGTTTTTGCAATAAAACACTACCACACCATGTATTTTTGTTTTCATTTTAGTTATTAATAATTAAACTTTAGGATTAGCATATACTCCTGGGGATTATAATAATGTATATAATACGCCGTACTTTTGGGGATATATTTAATAGTATACACACAGGTAATCGTATTTTTTTTGTTTTGTTTGCATTTGCACTACTTCCACTTCGCAACTTAAGAAAAAACATCGTCAAATACGAAATCACGTGACAGTGCTTCTTTAGATACATATACATATATCATCGACTAATGAGTGACTTTCTATACAGGTCTCTTATATTCGCAGCATTATGTGTGTGTTCCGCACTCTCCGTTTATTTATATATATATATATTTATATATTTATATATGTATATATAATTTTTTTTATATATAACATGCAAAATTATAAACTAGGGAAGATAATTCTTTTTGCATATACAATGAGTAATCTGCATCAGCTTTTTTTTGTATTCACATTTTTCCCATAATTAGTTAGTTATTCAAATACCTTATAATAAAAAAAACGTTTATTAATTTCTCGTGATTAATAACAATACAGATAATATATAATGTAGACTTGATGTTGTTAAGTAAATAATTTTATAACGTATACATATGTATATATATGTATATACCATTTAAAAATTGTGATTAATATTATACACGTACACGTACTTCGTTATAAAAAACCTAAATCCAAAAATGTAACTCTTATAATATGATGGTTATTCCCTTAAATATTTTGCAAGATATTTAAGTATTTTGTAAGGGGTTAATTAAAAATCTTGGAAGAGAAAGAAAAATTATTAGTAACTGTGTGGAATTGGAATAAGATGAAAATATCTCTGTGTGTATGTGCACGCATACACACATACATATGTGTATACACACACATATGTGTATAAAAAGAACATATATATATATACACATGTATATATACATATAATATTGGAAAAATTGAAACTCACTCAGCAATTGCCAAATTTTTTTTTAATTGACTTTTATTTATAAAAAAGTAGACTTAACATAAATTACGAAAATAATTTTCTTCGCATATTCTATAACGAAAAAAAGAAGAAATCAGAAATGAGGGAGGACGCGATAACACTCAATAAACAACACTGTACCGTTTATACATCACCTCTTTCGTTCTCTCACTTACTTAACAACATCAAACATAACTTTATTTTTGCTTTATTTGTTTTCTTCTCTGGCATTACTATTATTAGTATTATTATTATTTTATGTACAATCAGCGTAAACATTCTTGAACATGTTAGTCGTAGATAAGTTTTAAATTTCATGTGCTTTTTCGAAGATGATGTGCGCGCGCGCGTGTGTGTATATGTGTTCGGGAGAACTTATATAAAAAATTAGCTTTTGATACACACAACAGTGTTTTGGTGTTACTTAAGAAGTATATATATGATGTCCGTTTACATCCTATATATAACTTACGCTGAGATCTAGTTTACGCCTACCAAGTTCTCCTTAACAATTAAAAGACCTCCTTCTTAAAGACCTTATCACATACAGTTGTTTTATTACTAAGGCTTATTATTATATTTATACATGTGAATAATATCTATGTATATATATATATATATTTATATATTTATATAAGATCTTAGATTTTACACCTTAGACCTAACGCGTTATCAATGATTTCTTATATTTACAATTACAAACTACATGTTTTTTTATACAACCATAGCACGTTATCCCTTGTTTAATCGAACATGGTCTCTCTAGCACTACTCGCTCACATATGTATATTCGCATTTTTTTGCTTTCCTTGTTTTTACGTTGAAAATGTATGCACTCAATTTGCGTTGGTACAAGATCGTTCGTGATAATCTTCGATTTTAGTTAACTTCGACTTTCATTATGTGTTTCTCCACACATTACCTCATTGGTCATCTAAAAATACATGCTATAAACTACACTGAATCGAAATTTCAAAGAAATATAAATCTTATTTTCTTATAGTTATTTTTTTTAAACGCTTTTTTCATTCCGAATTTTCGATACACAATATACACCAAGAGGACATACGATAAATTCGATAATCTATAAAGAAAGGAAATAAATAGTCCCAAATTGTTTTCTAGCCTTTCTTAAACTCCTAATATAGCCGCGTCCTTATACTCCTAATGTATCTTTCCTCATACTCTTTATATATATTCTCTCTCTCACTTTGACGCTAATTAAATAAACAACGTAAATGTGAATTTGATTTTTTGTAAGCCAACAATCCCTATGTATCCCACGGTGCATAACAGAATAGAACAATGAATAAGTTCGTATCCTTCTGTTTCAAGTACCGTTCAATTTACATTTCTATTAAATCGCATTTGCTGTTTATTTATATCCGGCTTTTTAGCGTCACTCGTGACACATTCACTTTTTTTTCCCGCATTATCCTCCCCCATTTTAAATTAAATACGTAAAACAGAAAGTTTTTCTAACTAAAAACCTATTCACAGTTGCATTGTGAATCAAAATATAATTCATGTGGCAGAAGCACTTATATAGCATGACCGAAAAATATATATATATATATTATAAATATGGACTGGAAATAAAAGCAAATCTGCGTCCGGAGAAAGTTAGACAGAGAAACATGCAAAAACAGGTCAAACGTTGGTTTATGGACAAGAAGAAGATGCCCGAGAACCAACAGGAAAACTGTTACGAAAAAATACCAGTATCATTACTGTTTTGTACTTCTCTTTTTCTGGAAAACACTCAAAAAAGTACGTCTTCAAAAAGAGAAAAAACATCAGTATCAGTACTTTTTTGTACTTCTTTCTGTTTTAGAACACTCAATAAAGTACATCTTCAGAAAGAGAAAAATACTAGTATCAGTATTGTTTCATACTTCTCTCTTTTTTGGAACACTCAAACGAATACGCGTCTTTAGAAAGAAAAAAACATCAGTATCAGTACTTTTTTGTACCTCTCTGTTTTGGAACACTCGAAAGAATACATCTTCAGAAAACAAATACTAATATCAGTACTGTTTCGTACTTCTCTCTTTTTTGAAACACTCAAACGAATACGTCTTCAGAGAGAAAAAACATCAGTATCAGTACTTCTTGTACTTCTCTCTGTTTTGGAACACTCGAAAGAGTGCATCTTCAGAAAAAGAAAAAAATACTAGTATCAGTACTGTTTCGTACTTCTCTCTTTTTTAAAACACTCAAACGAATACGTCTTCAGAAAGAAAAAACATCAGTATCAGTACTTTTTTTGTACTTCTCTGTTTTGAAACACTCAAAAAAGTACATCTTCAGAAAAAGAAAACTACTAGTACCAGTACTGTTTTGTATTTCTCCTTTTTGTGGAACATCCAAAATGGTACATCTACAGAAAAAAAAAAGACTAGTATAAATACTTTGTCACATTTCTCTTTTTTTCGGAACACTCGAAGGAATATATCTCCAGAAAAAGAAAAAATACCTATATCAGTATTTTTTCGTACTTTTCTCTTTTTTGGAACATCCGAGAGTATGTCTTCAGAAAGACAAAAAACGTCAGTGTCAAAATCTTTTCATACTTCTCCTTTTTTGGAACATCTGAAAGAGTACACCTTCAGAAAAAGAAAAGAATACTAGCATAAATACTTTGTCGCACTTCCGTCTTTTTAGGAACACTCGAAAGAGTACATCTTCAGAAAGAAAATTTCCACACACACAGACATGCAGATAAAAAAAGAAAGCAGGAAAGAAGAAAGAACACATGTTCTCCATCTTCCTCTAGATACTGATTTTGATACAGAAACTATCAGATATTAGCCAGCCCATATTTATAAGACTTACAAATTACAACTAATGTCCAAACTATTTGTACACACTTCCGTTTTTTAGTCTGCCAGAAATTTAAATTATTCTTCTAATATTTCACTATATCGTAACATTTGCGAAAACAAATGATTAAGTTATATCCGAATCAAAGTACAAAACAACGATTTCGCATGAGAGTAGAACACAAGAAACATGTACACAACTTACTCACTTTTTACATACTGCTGTACAGTCAGCCACTCCAAATTGATCTATAGAACATTAAATGTATACATCAACAATAACAATATCGAAATGACTAAATCATTTTTACACTCTAAACCGCGGCAAACGTTTACGTTTTCGCACCGTGCGAATCTACCGTAAGAATAAGACAATAATCTTAATTTTGATTAAGGTAAAAACCCTCACAAAGTCGCTCTTGCGCTCGAAGATGCATAAAAAGAAAAAAGATCGTATAAAATATTCTACTATTGCTAAAATTAGTCGACGATCAATGAGGCCAAGATCGCCACTTGATATGAAAGCACACACGACATTCATTGTACGAAGAAAACCTTTCCGTTCAGAGAACTGTTTCCATGATATTATTTCTCTTATCACTGACATAATTGCGAAAGTAGGATTACGGCGTGAACATTCGAAAGTGTTGTGTGTGTTGGGAGTTACCCTGCTAAGCTATAACGACTTCGTATTTAAAAACCTGATTTTCAACAGAGTTTTGAGGAACTTACAATTGTCTAAAAGATTCTATAAAATGATTGAGATTTTTTTCATCTCGTTCAACTGCTAACCCGGCCAATAATTTATCAAACCGAATGTAAATAAAAGTAATCGATGTCATTACATGTTCTGGATCCGCGAAAACGTATCGTTTGTGATGCACAATTTATACCAAACAAGTTGAAAAATAATGATTGCTTATCGTCGAATGTAGAACACTATATTTGACAATTACAAACTTAACGCAAGTTACTTTTATTTACATTCTACTATATACACTCCTTCACACTGTGTATGTGTGAATTCTTTCAAACAACAATAATTACATTATCTATAAACCGAGTAGTCAAAAAAACTTGGAGGTCTTCTCACCAATTTCTCTTCGCTCTCTAGAAAAGTATCACGCGGGAATATACACGACAAATAACTGTACATACACACTTACATACACGAGTTCGTAGACTCTTGTATAAAAAAAAAAAAAAATAAAAAAAAAATAAAATAAAATTTTTATTTAAACAAATAATTTACTATTAATAGTGTGATTTTATCTACTTATTAGCTTACGTTCGACATGCTGTTAATTGCAAGTCCTCGAACATATGAATACTTTTCAGAAATCAAGTTTGTTGTGCTTGAAAAAAAGCAAGAGCTGCGTACAATAGAAAATTTTGCATCGATCATTTACAAGCTTTTTGTACTTTTTTTTCAGCAATCGTGAAGTTTTCCAGTTAAACCTTACTTAATTTGACGCATCGTACGAGCTGAATATTTCTAATGGTTTAGCATGTAATTTATGTTCACTCGCGCTCACGATACATCAAAAACATCAATGACACCTCAAGACTTCTGGATATTCGCACAGTCATAATCGATCTATGTCAGAAACGAGATAAATATTGATTTTCGCCCAAATTATATAGAAAAAAAAAAAGTTGAAACAAAGAGAAAGAACGAAAACAATAGAGTATTTCCAAGAGTGTTAACACACTTTCAATCGATAAAATATACCGAATGTTAATTTAGTTTAGCAACAAATATCTACAGTCGAAATACAGATCACACAGTGTGACCGCATGCCAAAAACTTACTATTCATTCGTGAATAAAAACCGAACAAGTTCACCTGTAAAGAAATGACGAAACGAGTGTCGCAAACGAAGAGAAAGAGAGAGAAAAAAAGAGACTAAAAAAAATTAAATTGGATCTCGGGTCAGTATATCGTGAGTATATCGTGAGGTAAAATTTGTTGCACCGATAGAGTATGTAACTGAAGTAAAACAAAATTAAGATAAAAGATTACGTGCTAACAACTACGAACAACTAGAAATGCCAGATATTCGCAAGATATAACAAATTGAATTGACTTGAATAAAAAAATACAAATAACTTATGATTGATGCAACTTTCTATGATATACGGGATCCTTTTTCCTTCAGAATAAGAAACTTAATTTGTTATAAAGTATTTATATGTGTTCAAGAAATTATGACCATCGGCATCGGTAATACGCCAAACGTCACTGATAAGTTTATAAAAATAACCAATAATAAATTATTTAAATACGATTTTAAGTTGTTTTCAAGAGAGCCTACGAACTTGCGTAGAGTTTGTATTTGTCAAATGCAGTATCTTACATTCGTCGAGTTACTAATCATTAAGTTACTATCATTGTGGCATTATTTTACAACTTGTTCGGTGTAAACTGTTCAACACAAATAATACGTTTTCGTGGATCCAGCACATATAGTCACATCTATTAATTTTTTTTTTTCACATTCGTTTTGATAAATTATCATTGGCCGAGTTAGCAATTGAACGAGATGAAAAAATCTTATTCATTTTACAGAATCTTTTAGATGGCTGTAAGTTCCTCAAAACTCTCTATTGAAAATCAGATTTTTAAATATGAAGTCGTTATAAGTTAACAAGCGCGTGTTCTAATTTGTTTTTACAAATGTGCTTTCGTTGTCAAACCGAAATGAAATAGTTCCACAATATTTCACGAGTATACTTCTTCGATTGAAAGTGAATTTGTACGGAAAAAAACTCTTTCAAAATGTAAGACGAGCGCAAAACAGACGTCTATTTTCTCGTTTCTAACAACACCGCCAAGATGAGTGAGCAAGTATTTAGATTTAAAATTATTCGAACATATTTTTTTTTCGAAATTTTTTGCTTATTTTTTTCCTTCGTTTACATACTCTATCGATCCAATAAATACAAATTTTGTCTAATCTCATGACATACTGACCCAGAATTCAATTTAATACTTCCTAATTTCTTCTATTTTCTCTCTCTTTCTCCTCATTTGCGACACTCGTTCCGTCATTCCTTTACAAGATAAACCTAAGGTATACCAAGAGTAGGTATACAGTCTAATCTGATAGTTGGTAGGATCAAACTTACTCTTCAACTCTAGAATTACCCTTATCATTAATCATAATAATTGACAACATTGTTCTAAAATGAGACATTCTAATCCGCTCATTCCGACACGCGATGATTCTCACATCAACCGAGATATCGTACGGTTAAGTATAATATTCGGATTGATCAGTAGTTTCAGGTAATCGACCCCAAGCCGGATAGTCGTTATTTTAAATTTCTCGAATTGTGTCGAAAATGTATTATACATTAGTTTTTTTTGTTTAAACGTATTATTCAAGCCCCTAGCGCCCCTAGTCCTAGAGGTATTGTTCACGATTACAAATAGTTTTCACTTTATATGAATGTAAAGAAAAAAATTTTACGAGAAAATCATTACTACCTACCATGTGTTATGTATATGTATGTATATATATATATATCAGCAAGAACGCTGTTCTAATCCTACCAACATAGTTCATTATCCTACTTATACATATCAATGACTCAATGTGGAAAAATATAAAACTTAACTAAATATACACAGACACACATTTATGTCCCAATGGACACTTTCTTCACGTATATGCGCGATCCATTACACGTAGCCTTTTCATACACAGCGCACTTCACTTATTTTATAAGGTTTCCGTTTTCGTTTACACATTTACATAAAGTACAAACTTATGAAAACCGGAAAAATTTAACACAATAGTCAGTGTGTTTAGCATTTTCGAAGTATATCATAAGTATCATTTTGTAACTAATTTACATGGTCACACTTAGGTGTCCGTCGATTCAGAGACAATGCAGTAATTTGTCACAGATTATTTTTTTTATATTAACTTGTTCGAGACGAGTCCTCGGACGAGCAGTGTTGAGTCTCTGTTAAAATCCAAACGCGTTATTTCTGGATCAATGTTTCAAGACGAGCACATGATGCCATCGTCGTTGTCTCACTTTGTTTTGCAGTTAACATTGTTATTCTTTCGGTAAGAATATATATATACGTTAGTAAAAAATTTTTACAATACCGATCAACGTCAAAAATGTACGTCCACCACTCTTACTATGTTTCAGCGAGTTTACTATAAAGAAGATATAGTAACATTATAAGGACTCTTCAAATGCAGCCATTAAATCGCTTTGCATGTTCATGTCAATCTGTCCAGCCATCTGCAAAGATAAATATAACCATTCTTTACGAATCTGGTCTTTGCTAGAAGCTTTGAAAAGAATATCAATTCCTTCAGATGCTCGCGTACGAAAATAACTATAAAAGTGGTCGAATTTACTGTAAATTATTGCAAGTTACAAGTTATCAGAAAACGGAATTATTATGATTAGTAATTATCGTTGACATTAAGTGATAAATATTAATATGTTTACGTAGTGCATTAAACAAAATTGTTTAAGCTTGTTTTAATCGTCGCACGAGTCCTTGATTTTATTCACTAATACAGTCGAACCTCGATAACTCGAATCTCAAGGGAAGAACTAAAATCTTTGAGTTGTGGAGATTTTGACTTATCGAAGTGTCCTTTTTTCCTTTCCGCGGAGCGGAAGGAAGTGAACAAAATTTTCGTCTTATAGAGGTTCGAGTTATCAAGGTTTGATTGTACTTTCAACGCCGTGAAAATTGTTTTCTTTCGATATAAGAATCAACAAAAAGAAAGAATAGAAATAAATACGTACCGCTTCTCTTCGTCGACGCTCTTGTTCTCGTAGCCTCTGGCGCTCTCTTTCTGCCGCAGACTTGTCCTGAGTAGACGAATGACTAGGACTACTACTATCCGTATCGGCGATGGCTTTCACTTCTTCCGTTCGTGATGACGCGGTCATACCGCTGCTGCATCCTGGCTGATCTCCAACGTTTTTTCTGACCTTGTCCAAAGCGTCTTCCTCCTCACGTTCTCTTCTTCTCTCGTTTTCTTGCCGCAACCTTTCTCGCTCCGCTTGTTCCTTTTGCTGTCTACGCATTTCTTGTTGCTCCATAAGAGCTCTTTGCTGTATTACGGATATTAAAAATTGGAAACGTATAACAATAAGTTAAATTTTTATAAAATAACGCAGGAAGAAAAGCTCATGTGTGATCAGTGTAAAATCTGCTTAGAAACTACAAAGAAAAGTAATATGACAACTAACCCTGTCCTGCTTTTCTTTAGCTTGCTTCTTAAACGCCTGGAATGAATCTCGTGCCGCGCTTTTCATACTACTACCAGCAGCCACCGATTGCGGACTCGATGCTTGTGCAAGGGAAGACCAGGATGACGCGTTCTTTACATTCTGCTCAACAGTCTGTACAGCCAAACACGTGTAATTCGATTAAATTGTTTCATCGAGATAACATGGAAATAATACATAGAAAAGTGACATGAAAATAATACATAAAAAAAACGTAAATTGACACAGACCGTTTTAGAGCGCTGAAATACCTTATTCTTAAAGGCTGATGCAAAGTTTGAAGCAGGATTCTTCGAATCGGGTGGAGTCATCTTCTTTTCAGGCATTATTTGTGTACCGGCATGGTTGCCCATTGACGGCATGCCTAGAGTGTTCATTTCTGTAAAAGAAAAGCTCAAGCTAAAGAAGAGAAACATAATATCGTACATTTGGTTAATATTGTATGTGATAGTATTAAAATAAAAAAGCAAATAAAGCAACATTATTACAAGAAGCAAAAACAAATGTCACAATTTTAAAACGTTTTAATCGAAGAGAGTTAAGATATTAATATATATAACAAGTTTAGAATATGAAGTGTTATTTTACACGTGCAAACACGAAAAATGAAAAAAATATTACATAAAATTAACATGTAAAAAATTGTCCAATCAAATTTTCTTACATCTCAGTTATGCAATATGTTTCTATATTTAATTAGTTGTTAGTAGCTGCCACTGTTTTTCCAACACCCAAAATTTAAAGTTACTCCTCGAATATACGTGACAATTAAAAAACAAAGTTATGATATGATAAAGTTGAAATATGATGTTTAAAGCTGAATAAGAGCAAGTATTTGTACTGTCTAAATAAAAAGTTTAAAAAACCATAAATAAAAGCATGCAAAACTTTTATGCACAAACCATCTATAGGTTTTTGTGTCAGTTGAGCTTGAGATATCGGCAACGGCTTCTCTTCCTTCTTCACAGGAATCTGTGAAATTTGCATTGGCATGGACACAATAGGGAGAGGATCGAATATCGAACTCATGCCTCCCATATTCATACCCATGTTCAAACCCGGAATACCGTTGTTATTCAGCATATTGGGCGGCGAGTTTCCGCGCTTCGTGTTCGGGAAACCGTTAGAGTGTTGTTGCGACATCGTGACGTTATGGGAATTCTGCTGTATGTTGGTCAACGACGCAGTGGTGTTGATCATGTTCTCTAATTGATTGTGCATGCTCATGTGCGCCGCTATTCCTTGCGACAGATTTATATTCAAATTCGCCATATTGATATTGCCCATGTTAAGATTGGAAGGCATATTCGTCGGCATCATGTTCATGGATTTTACGTCCGTCAACAGATTCATATTGGTGTTATTATTTGTATTGTTTGTTGTATGAGTCGTTTGGATAAACGAAGGCTGGTCCTTCTTGATCGCGAGCGATTGATCCAAGGAAGGCTGCGTTTGAATGAATGACGAAGGCTGATCCTTCTTTATTGCAATCGTTTGATCCAAGGAAGATTGCGTAGTAGGAACCGAAGCTATGAAATACATATTCAATTATTAATCTTCTTCTTTAATATGCGACTTAAAAGAAAGTTTTAAGATATATTTGTAAACAACGCTACTATATATGTGCTTGTATCGTCACTGCGTCATCTGTGTCATGTGTGTGTACGTGGATATACATGATGTGTAAGTATATAATCGACCCTAATAACTACCTAGAGTATTATATGGTTGTAAAAGATCAGATTGTTGATTTATATTTGTCCCGTCTGTGGGTACAGGTGTATTTGCGTTCGGAAAGGAACTAATAGACGTTGGTGGCTGCTGAGATGGTTGAGATACAGCCGGTGAAGCTGTCATAGAATTTGTGTTTGTAGGTGTTACACTAGGTGGTGGAGTCGGAACAGAAACCGACGGAGTCGGCGGATTAGATGTTGTCGGCGGAGGTGGAGTTGGTTTTTTTACAGGAGCGGCCGTAGCCAAGGCCGTGGGTCGCGACGGCTGTGCCGGCATGGACGCATGACTCGCGACAGGCATGCCTTGTCCAGCTGTAATTGCAGCTACTGCCACAGGTTGCTGGGTATTATTGCCTCCTAAAAGAAGGTTTACTATTACCTCCCAAGGATATTAACAATACGTATAATTGCGATTTATACGTTGTTAGAAGCTGAGAGATACATTTACGAAGTATCTATAACTTGAGATAACGAGTTTTTTTGCGAATTGTTCCAAAAGATGGAAAAATAATGAATAAAATTTGGAAAAGAAAGCGAAGGAACATATCCTGAAATAATAAAAAAGTTTGTCCAACAAGTAAAAACCGAAAAAAACTTCAAAAAAAATATTTTCGATATTATACTGAATCCAAAAGAGAATTCCCTAAGCACGAACGAAATATTGGTATCATTAATATACAATACTTAACAATTTTATTTAAAATACCTTGATCTGAAGGAATATTCGGTTGAGTTTGGGGCGGCTTTGTAATTGGTCCCGCAGAATTTGACGGTGGCTGATTATTCATTAAAAGAGCTCCAGTATGATTTAATGTAGATACCTAGTAAAATTACACATTACAAAACACAATAATCATTATATATAACAAAACATAACATACAATAACATACAATAACACATAATAACATATAATAATATCTATAACATATATATACATATATACTTATATATATATTATAATATTATAATATATTATATTACCCAGAGGAATTCAATATTATAATAGTAAAATTGCACGTTTATTTAGGAAATGTCAATAATTTCTCTCACGATGTCTTTCGTGAGAAAAAATACATCACTTCCTTGTGATTTTTCTGATTTGTTATCTTACCGAAGCTGTGGTCGTAGTTGTAGTTCCTGTACTTGGTGGTGCCTTCTTTTTCTTTCGCGGTGGACGATTCGAAGAATTCCCTGAAAATTCGTAATGTGCATCTATATGTGAACAAGGTGCAAATGAGAGCACCACTTTTGAAACTTCACGAAAAGAAAGTCGTTGAAGAACTAGTGAAATGCAGTGTGCAGAGGATACCATCGGTCATTAAGTACGAAGTATATATATATATATATAAACGATACGTCACAAACGAAAATTAAACAACTCCGAGAGCGTATTTTCTAATAGATTTTTATTCATATGCTTATATTATAATTGTATCACTGTGTACAACAATGTTAATTTAAATATCTCAATTGTATGTTCTTTTTTTTTGTGGACTTTCATCTTATGATTCCCTTTTTTTTATTATTAAAAAATTTTTCATGCGCAGAACAATTTTTTTCTCCTCATTCTACATAAAGTTACTTGTATTCAATTCATTTATGAATGTTGCGTGTGCATATATATATATACATATATATGTATACACATTATATATAAATACATACATACATACATATCGCACGCGCGTCCACGCATACATCCACACACGTGTGTATCGCGACGTTTTTTTGTCACACATACATATTCACCCATTTTTCTATATATATATGTATGCAAGAGCACGCGACTGTCTCCCCTTTTACTGTATCTCGATAATTCATGATTTAATATTATAATAATAGTAATAACAATCGTGATCGGTGGCGCGACGAAAATGACAATTATAAAACGTTTGTTGACTACAAAAAAACTCATCAAACTGCCGTCGTCTTTTGTTTCACCTTTCATATAAGCCTAATTTCTAATATTATTCTTAATAGAGAAGTGTTAGACTAACGTGTAAATTAAAAGGTCACATAAACGGGTACAATAGTTCGGGTTCAACTTAAAAATGAATGATACAAGAGTGACACACTCTTACAAACTGTTTTTTTTTATTTTTTTATTTTTTTAATGTTAAAGTCGTAGTTAGCGCAACATTGAGATCGGTGGCAAGACACTCCTGCTCGATGTGTGTTGCTCTTCAGTGTATTACAATGTAAACAATGTGTGTGACGCAACTAATCAATGATACATATCTCGACACCTGCATTGTTACAAGACGTCATTTACTTTTCGACCGTTGCGATCGCGAATTGCGAAATCGCAGTGTTGAAATTTATCGATGGAATGTGACTACACCGACTACTACCTCGCTAAAACTCATTTCAACGGAACTTGAATGAAAGCAACGAACCAACGAGAAGGAGTACCAGCGTGTGTCTTAATTTATATTATATAGTTAACTGGACCACCCATGTGTATTTATGAGCCAACCGCGACTCTGAACGCTCTTCTTGAAGAATCAGTGTCTTACTTCGTTTATTAGCTTTTTTTTTTTTTTTTTTAATGTATGCACTTAGAAAAGTCTCGCGCGTGTATGCGTTTATCCGCAATTGTTTTTCTTCCGTAAATATAACTTATAGCTAATTTATTAATATTTTATGATATATTAGTTTTTACTATGTACAAAACACGTACGCTCGTGTTTACCGTTGCTATTAAACTTCGAGAGAGATACGCAGAAAATAGACGGAGAGAGAACATTTACATACGACTTGTCGGAGAGAGAAAGACAATCAACGACGTTAAATAGAAAAAGAAAAAAAACTGTATCTCTCTTATTTTATTCGTTTTTAACACAACACTTCGGGTTTCCCTTCGGATCTGCTTTCGCGTAGAAAGATTCTAGCAGGAAGAGAGAGAGTGACGTTCCACAGTCCAAGAAAACAAAAAACAAAAAACAAAAAAAAAAAAAAAAAAATTAAACGATGCGAACAAACTTTAAACGCGTGCGTTGCATACAAGAATAAATGCTACAAAAATTTTGGAAGGCAATATGAATATCATTTTATAAAATGCCCTATACCTCGCGTTACAAGCTAATGGTGATTGTTTATCTTAAATAGATGCGGTCGTAGTATTCTATCTAATTCAGCACACGCGCGACTGCCGAAATTTGTTCTCCCATTAATAAATCTAGCTAATTATTCAAACATTTTCTCTAGTTTCACTTTCAAGTGTTCTGGAAAACATAAAAACGATAATATTAATCTTGCCCGACGTCTCTCTCGTATCTATATTTTGTAAATGCTTACAATCTTTTTTTTTTGTTTTTCATTATCAATAATTTTCTTAAATATCGACGAACACTTTCCGACCAAATTGGCTTATTTGTATCGAGTTAACGTTAGCAATTAATTGTTTCTACCTTTTATCGTCTCTTCTTGTGATTTCTTTTCTTTTTGTCGGGACAGTAAGTACGATGCTGAGTGTGTACGACTTCATGATACTATTTAATTGTACTCGAGTGCAAATTCACTTAATGATCGTTAATCATGAGACGTGTTTGATTACGAGATGTGTTTTCTCAACACCTCACAGCGTCATCATCGGTTACGTCCACAATAAATTCACATAGATATGTATATATATATACATGCGTTTGTGTGTGTATATATATATACATACATATATCTTGTCTATGTATAATAACTAAATTTACATATTTTTTTTTAACAAAAAAGAAACTTATTATGGAGCAAACATTTACACACATAGAGAAATATATATAAAAACAAAAATATTATTAAAATTAAATCTTGTGTATGAGTTTAAACTTGTATAAAAGATTTTCTAAAAATGGTTGAATAGGACGGGTTAAAAATATATTTATATTTATATATATTTGTATGTATATGTATATATATAATTACTTCCTCGAGAGAATTATGACAATATTTGTTATTTGCAAAAACTCGTAATATTTACAAACGCATGTAAAGTTATATTGCGACAGAAGAAATAAGATGTATGCTTGACAACGAATAACTACTATTTTTCTCTCGTATTATATTATTTTACGGCATGTAAAACCACACCAATTTTCACAATTTTTAATTGTTATATATAATGATATATTAATTTCAATAGAAAGAAGACGGTTTATATCTCTTTCCTTTGCGATTGTTTGAGCGATGAAAGATCTGACAATGGTTACCGATGAAGAACTAGTGGTAAATAGGGATGAAAACGACGATTAGCAAAGCTTAGCGGAGTGCAAACAATGTGTTTGGAGGCTAGGGCGCCTTGTGTATACGCATGTATATATACATATATTGCAAAACTTCTCTTTCTCTTTTCTCTTCCTCCCTTCTTATTTCTCTTCCTTTATTTACTTACTGTTTTCTCCACTTGCGACCCAATTTCAAATTCCCTTTCTGTTGTTTTTTTCTCTTACCTCTCTTATATCTTATATTCTTCTCTTTCAACACATTAATATAAACTTCATATATATATATATATATAAACATTTTTATATATATACATATATGTTTATTGCTGTTACAGAAAAAGAAAAATAAATGTGGAATCTGTTCAACTATCAGTTAGAACTCAGATGCAAGTTTGCTCCGCACTTATTGACTTCGCGGATTCACGTTCATCATCATTATTCGGATCTATAAACTCGGAATAAGGAAGATTTGTATTCGTTCTTGCTCGTCTCGCACACAACAGGCAACGTAACAAGTATGTATCAAGTTATCGAAAATTTTTTGACTTGCAAGACGAATCAATTTAGTAATAATTGACCTCATATAAAGGAAGCACATCTTTGGCTGTAATAAGCTACGAGATTGTAAAAATAATAACCTGAGATATAGACACTACGATAAAGTTTCTCTTCGTGTTAAGGAAAAGTCTTATTCAACATTATTTCTACGGAGACCGAGCTCGGCAGAAAACGTAACTCTCTTACTGGGGGTACAGGCTTATTAGTTATTACATTTAAAAAACGCGCACACTTGTGAATATATCGTGTGGCCCTAAAGTGCACTAATTTGTAAATCCAGCCACCATTAACACATTGTCTGCATCCTTATGTGTATCACTGTGATTATTGCCTAATTTTTATCTCTCTCTCCCTCTCTTTCTCTCTCTCTCTCTCTCTCTCTCTCTTTCTCTCTCTCTCTCTCTCTCAAAGAGAGAGAGTATTGATCAGTACTATCATATGTATATATATATATATATAAACTTGCATAGTTCAAAACGTCTGGAAATAAACATTCAGGCGCAATTCTCACGTCAATCGGAGTCATGTAGTTTTGCGTATTGTGGATATATGTATATTCATTTCTTAGTTTAGAGATGCCTGTTAATAATAATTTGTACTTGATTCTGAGAAATGAAACAACATGAAAGTGAATCAATGTGAGAAAAAACAAACTCAATGATTCGGAAGCAAAGTGATATAAAGAATTGCTCTGCGTACAGATTAATGTAAATAAATAAGATTGTAAGAGTTAATATATTGCATGTAAGTAATATCGTTCAGGTTACGTGGAACGATATAAATTATCGATAAAGCAATATATGTGTGTGTATCTGTATGTGTGTATTATGTGTGTGTTATGTACAACTTATATCCAAAGTATTAATATTTCACACTACAGTTACGGCAAATATTTTATATACGAAAACAAATATGATCTCGCTGATTGCGGGATAAAATTTTCGGAGATGTATTTTTTACCAACCTTAATTCTGAAGTTGTTTTATGTCACTCAGCCTTTTAATTTAATATCTTGTTTCGTCGACGAAATTTTTAACGTCGTGTAAACAACATTATCATTCATCGAGGTGATAATTTTTATGTTTTTACGTTCGTGAAACGAAAATAAAATTATCGCACAAGAGATTAAATCTCCTTTGACGGGTGTCCAAAAAATTTCGACCAAAAAGATTGAAAAGCAACGATTTCACTTACAAACTCAGAGATGGAACTGTAGTGAAAAATCCACTGATCTTAAGATAGCAATTTATACTCCGCTTGATTCTCAAGCGACAGGATATATTGGCAACACTGATATGGGGCAAGAGAAAATTATGTCGTTTACATAAACAACAATATAATTTGTGAAACAAGCTAGCATGGCATATGGTATCCTCTAAACACAGTCTGCACTCCACTAGCTCACTTTTTTCTTACCATTGCATATTGTCACGTAAGTTAAAGAAAAACATTTTTGATGTGTGTCAAGTTTCACGTAACGCTTGTACACAATCGCACACTGGTTGATACGACGGTTATTGGTGTGACAAAAATGTGAAGAATTACGTAGATGTATGAGAAGAATCTTGTTTGATCTCATTTGTTTTTGTTACGATGAAACTTGGCATCACATTTCGTACTTGCATTAATATAACGCAGCACTTAAGCTACAAGAATAACGCCGTCCTAATAAATACAATAATAATTAAGCATGATTCAGCAGCTTAAAAAGATATTTGCGATGCACGTGTCCGTCAAACTCCCCCATTCGAAGAACTTGTTTTATATCTAGTTTGTATAACATCATCCTTCTTGGGTTTGTAATCTTAATGATCTGATAATTCAGTTTTCATTTTTTGATAGCTTTTATTTGCCAATAGAAAACATTGATTAGGCACAAGTTCAAGTGTTCTTTGAAGTTCTCAAAGCTATCACCAAATCATGAGGCATCAATGAAAAGTGATAAATTATAATAACATAATAGCAAAAAGAATTGGAATAGATAGATCACTTTCTTACAAATTCATTAATGTTTATATAGAAACAGAAAACTACTAGAATAGAAAAAAAAATATCAAAGCACATGGTGCCTCCGGTTCCAACTACATCGACAGCACAGTGAAGAAAAAAATCAGAATTTTAAGAAGAATTAATAAGTCTTTCTTCCTTACATCATAACTTAATAATTACTTACATCAATAATTTTGTATATGTAATAATTAATTCAAATTCTTTATATACTAGGAAGCACTAAGATTATAAAATTAAAAAATAAAGTGTACACAACTTTTTTTGTTATATCATCAAAATGTCATGACACAACTATACATGATTATGATAACTAAGACACTATTCTGTTTGTTCTATACAGACAATATACAAAGTTTTTATACACAGTGCATGTAAATGCTTCATGAAATAGAAGTTTGTTTCAGACAGCTATGAGAACTTCATGTCTACACAATTTCACTATTTCTTTCTTCATAATAGAGTTTCTTATCTTAACTGACATTATACAAAAAAATTTAAACAATCATAGATTAAAAAAAAAAAAAAAAAGAAAAAAAAAGAAAAAATTCTAACGACATTCGGTTGACAGATAACCATTGTACTCTTGTCGAGGGGAGAGAAAAAACGTTATCATATATTCGTATTGCAAATATGCTCGTACAAATGTACGTATTGTCTTTGAGAATTGTTTTTTTATTTTTTTTATTTTTATGTAAATGTGTTTACGGAAATCTGTGCATCATAATAAATCTATATCGGGAAGCGAAACGTCACGTTTGCGACAAAGTTACGAAAAGTACGAAACACCTTATTTCCCGAAAACAATAGTCGCAAATAACCTAATAATTTCAAATTTCACCGAAGAAATAATTAATAATTTTTTTTGTGACAACTACTTGGTTACAAGTAGTTCTTTGTTCCCAAGGAAGGGTATAAATTTTTTTAATATCTAACCTGCTTCGCTGTCGCTTGAATCGCTGGAGCTTGATGAGAGTGAACTGCTGCTGGAGTCACTGTCGCTGCTACTGCTACTTGACGCCGACAGTCGTGAAGGAGCACTGGTGCCTCCAGTTCCAACTACATCGACAGATTTGCTGCTGTCTTCTGTAAAAAGTACACGTGCGCAAACGTTTTAGTGTTGTACAATCGCTAGTTAAGTTCTATCACATTCACGAAGCGTGTATATATTTCTTAATATAAAGTTATATATGTATCAAATTAATTGAAGAAAATGAACAATACTTATAACTCAATACAATCGCATAAAATTCTGAAGAAAAATTAAATGCAAACCTTTCTTGGTAGTCTTTTTGACGCTGCCTAATTGCCCTGTCACATCCTGTAACCTTTTCTCCAATTCTTGCTTCTTCTCTGCCATTTGCTCATCCTTGGATTTACCGCTAACTTTCTTGTCTGTAATGGATGAAACACACATAATATGTAATTTTATAATAATAAGATGGCTCTTATTTTCGACTTTTGAATTTTTTCACGGCACCCTCTAGAATTCCAATTGCTAAAAAACTAATAAGAGAAAAAGTTCTGCCCGATCGAATAAAAGGGGAAAAGAAGCCCCTGGGATTCTTGTTTAAAAAATTTAAAACTTTTTGTTTGTTTAACATGTTTTTCGATATAATCAATAAGTTAGAAGATAATCAAATAAAATCGATTCTTTGTGCATTTAAATAATTTTTTCAATGTTTAAGGACCCAAGGACTTCTTTTCTCCTTATCCAATCAGGCTGAACTTTTTCACAGATTAGTATTTTAGCAATTGGAATTATTCTCGGGAATGCCGCGAAAAAAATTCAAAAACAAATGTTCAAGAGTAAACAAGAGCCACTTTAATATTATATGCTATAAGTATTAAATTAAATACAATATTTATATATAATGCAATATTTTATAATTTTTTTTAGACAAGGAAAACATACATAAATGACATCGACTAGAAACGAAGTAAAATATTCATATTTGAACTTACGTGGCTTTTTTCTGAGGCATGATGCAACATAGCTCTCCAGTTCTCTAAGCGTCGATGGTTTCAATGTCTCGAAATCAATCTCAATTTCATCTGGATTTGAATCTCTCAGCGAAGGCTCCCGTGATTGTATTATGTGCACAACGCGACCTAATTTATCACCTAAGAAGTGCGAAAAACAACAACTATAATGAAACAAATTATATAATTTTCAATTTCAATTTCAATTTTTCGTTTTCTGATTCTAAGTGAAAATAAAACAATGTTAGTCTATAATGCAATGTTATAAGTAATAATAATAAAAAATGGCAAAAAAAATCTATAATCAACAAATAAGATTTTAATTTAATCTGTATTTTTTACCTGGTAGTTTATTTATATCCAAGCTAAGCTGTCTCTTCTCATCGTAAGACATGGGCTTAGCATTATCTTCATCTTCTGAATCGAATGCAAGTGGTGGTGGCTGACTACCAGTGTTCTTCTTCTTGTTTCCGGTAGATCTGCTGTTAGCTTTCGGCCTCTTACTCGCAGTGTTCGCGGTGGCTGCAGCTTTTCCAGGTCCCCGACCCTTACCCTTCGGTTTGGCGTTGACTGTTGCCGGCAAATGATGTCCTAAGCTTCCCGGGGTGTGAGTTTTGTTAGCTACCATCGTAGCCTGATGATGAAGGTCACTACCCATGCCGCCTGGCATCTTCAGATCGCTCGGACCTATCGGAACATTAGCAATACTAGCACCAACGGTGTCGGACACATTGAGCATACCACCACTTGGTTTCATAAGTTCCTTCATGGCACCAGTGTGACTGGTAAGATTACTATTCTTATTGCTCATTGGCTTTGATTTTGGCTTATCCGGTTTCTTTTTCTTATTTTTCTTCTTACTGGTCTCTTCCACCAGCTTCTTCATTTGTTCTTGCATGGCCTTAAGCTATTAACAAAATTAATAAATTACATTTTTCATATGTTTCAACTTTCTATTTTCTAATTGTTTGTTTTTTAACATACCTCTTGTTGCAAAGCGAGTAGCTTTTGAGTGCGTTCTTCCGCCGAATCATCGGTATCAGAACTCTCACCACCTGAACTACTGCCACTTCCACTGCTGCTATCTTTCATAGTCATATTACTTCCCATTGGCTCATCGGGAACTTTTGCAAATCTAATAATGCAGTACAAAGACACGCGTAGTCAAACTTTCACAATTTCATCAGATATTTAATGATATACTGATTGGTTTGTTAGTTTAACTACACACCTCATTTCGAATATATCTTGCAATTTTCGGGCCATCGATACTACGTCATGATCTGGAGGGTTATATTTGTAACAATTCGTGAATATAAGTCGCACGTCACTTGCGAATTCATGAGCGGTTTTGTATTGGCGATTATCCATTTTCGTCTGCAAAGTAAAACATTGTAAACAATTTTTATTTTTGTTTTGGTTATCTAGTTATTGCAAAAAGCGTAATATACATCAAGAAGTTATACTACGTTTTTTGAAAGAATTTTTAGTCTTTTGTATCTTTGTAGCAATTTTCAATCTTTTGTATCTTTTTACTAATTTCTCTCTTAAAAAAGTGGAATACTGAATTGAAGCAAACGAGTAGCTTGTTTTTGGAACTAGCAATATAAAATTGTTTTAATTGTTCGAAACAAAAACAATAAATAAGACAAAGTTCTCTAAAAAAAGTAGTCATAAAACTCAACTTTTATCGCTTACCCTTTTCTCGTATTAATAATAGAAAAACAAAATTGAAGGAGAGCAGATCCATTATATTGTTTACGTAAATAAAATTACAAACCTTTACGGTACCAAGATCCATAGGTTTTTTTATGATTTCGTGGTAATCATGAAGGCCTAAAAGTTCTGCGTCGACGGGTTTGTAGAAAGGCCAAGCGTAAGGCTAAACATTATTTAGACAAAAAAACCATTTAATTACACAGTGTGGAATGCTGAATTTTATTTTTGATGTGTTATTCGTAAATTGTATAGCATATGATAGGGAATGAGAATATACAATAATTACCGAATGCCTTTTGGCGAAGAGTTCCTTCAAGATATCGTTACAATGTCTCAGAGCTTCAGATAATTTCTCTTTTCCTTTGACACTAGTATGCTGAGGCTGGAAATATAAATTGCTCAAAATATTATGTAAGAATATAGCACATGTTGTGCAAACGTATGTTATTTTGAATAATTTTTTCAGAAAAAATTATAATTGACTTTATCTTGCTTAAAATATAATATAATATAAAGCAATGTAAAAATTTTGTCTCATAACATGAGATTTTTGGTAGAAAACAAATCCTGTATAGATGCTGACAAAATGTTAATATAATTAGACTATATATAATATTCAACAATTTCTTATTTTGGTAGATGGTAAGACAACACAAATGGGAGAAGGAAGGAGCGTGAAGGAATAGTAATAAATGTACCTGCTGGGCCATTGCTCCTATCAGGGGCATATTGGCCTGATGATATGGCACTAAGCCGTCTTCCGCTTGCCTCGTTGGCTGAAACAGCCACGACATGACCGATTGGTTAACGAAATGACAAATGACTACATGTGTAAGGATCAAAGATGCTCGCAAGAATTATGACAATGTATAACACGATATATGTGTATGTGAACTCACAATAAATAAACAATTATTTATAATGAAGAACTTCACTTCAATATGCTTTTTTAAATGTCTTCTTACTTAATTTAAATATAATTTTAAATATATTAATTTAATAATTAAATGTAATAATTTAAATATAATTTAAATATGAATTTGTCTTTTTCTCATATTTTATCATCACAATTACTTCATAAAAAATTTGAATGATAAAAAAAGAAAGTATATAGCTACCTTTTTAATTTGCCTGCCCGATTCTCTTCTCGTGGGTATTTTGGCAGTCTTGGAGTCCATATTAGATCCGTATAATGGATCGTACGCATTAGCGGTAGGAGTTGTTGTATCCGCCTTTCTTTTCACTCCTTTTTTTACTTTGGCAGGTTGGGACGGTGGCATTACGGTAGGCGTTGTGGGAACTTGGGGAGCAGGAGGAACGGCAGAAGCTGCTTGCGGATCCATCGCTGGCTGCGCATGATAACCGGTGGTTGGAGGGACGACTTGTTGGGGCAAAGAATTATGAGTCGCCATTTGCGTGACACTCATGGTCGATGGTGGAGTGATGGTGGTGGTGTTCGTGCTGCCGGGTACTGAAGCCGGCGCTTGAGTACCGAGAGGAGGCATAGTGGGTATGACGCCGGTCGTTCCGGCCGACGTGGCAGAAGGTGTCAAACTATTTGGTACGCTGGAGGTAACGGCCGCGGCACCGGAAGCAGGTCGTCCTCTACCCGCTCCTCCGCTCGTACTTCCTCCGCCGCCTATTCCTGAGGTACCGACTCCTCTTCCAGCTTTCTTACCTTTCGGTCCCTTCGGAACAGGCGGATCTAACTCCACCTCCTCCTTCGGCATTTGTGCAACCTAATAAAAATATTAAGATGCATCTAATGATACGCACACATGTCTTTTAAACACATGTTTATCCACATCCCACCACTTATATCCTAATATTCAATAATATATCCTACAAATAACAAAATAAAATTTAATTAGACAAGACTTATAAAACTTTAAAAATAAAATAAATAATAAATAAAAATAAAATAAATAAAATCCATCCTATATATAAAATCTTCTATAAATAAAATTCATTTTGTAAATAAAATTCTAGAAATAGAATCTTTACAAGAGTGAAATTATTTTGTGATAATATGATTCACAAAATACCTTTGTGAGGAACAATTTTTCGAGAGCTTGCGCCATGACCACAACATCCTCTCCCGGCTTGTTGTAGACATAGCAGTTGGTGAACATCGTATTGAAGTCCTGAATACATTCTTTCCCACTCCAATAATACGTATTTTCCAATCTCTTTTTGATTGTGCCCAAGTCCATTGGTTTTTTGATGATTTTGTGATAATCCTTTTTTTTACATAAAAAAAGAACGTTTTTAGCAACTATTTGAGAAAAATTTTTTATCTTTGTATTTATTTATTACGATTGTAACGTACTGGTAAATTGAGTTTTTTGGCATCGACAGGTTGTTGAAACGGCCAAGCAAATTGATGCTTCCATACTGGTTTCAAGACACCCTTTTGCAAGAATTGTAACTGATTTGTGATGCGTCCGGGACGATTTGGTGGCGGGACGACCGGTGGTTGAACTATTCCGTTCACCGGTTCCAACGGCGGTTCCTCACGCGGCGGTGGTTCCGGCGCGGGCGCTGTAGTCGACGCCCTGCTGCCAGGAGTGCTGGTCTGCATTGTTCAGTGAATTTACATATAAAATTAATATAATTCTTCACGATTATGTATTAATACATTTATAACATTTAAATGTAAAATCAGAACTAGCACATAAATGTGCAGAACTATACTACGGTAGGGACAGCCTGCATTCCAATAATCTTTTTTTTTGTCTCGGCAAACTTATTTTTTTTCTATAGATCCCCCCAACTGCGCGGAGAATATAATGCACTAAACGTGAGCGAAACAAATATGACTGAATATAAATTTGACCGTTTGACATCGAAAAAAAAGACCAAATTCAATCTTCTATTTTTTTTAGATAAGAATAATGATATGCAAGCGGTTCAATAGCGTGTTTATGGGATACATACAAGCGATCTCTACTGAATAGAAGTACTGTGATTGCACTATTATTTATAAATTATTCATATTATTTATATTAATACTACTATAATTAATTTTACATCACTATCATGCATTGTAAACTAGGTAGCATATATATCTAGATAAAAAAATAAAAACGCACAGATATTATTTAGTTTATTTATGTAGTATTTGCAGGTGAAAAAAGAATATATTTATAAAAGTATTATATTTATTCTTGACTTGACTTATTCTTGACATTTGTTCTTGAATTGTTTCTGGTTTATTTATCTGTTACATTTCTATAAAAAATTTCTATTCCACAAGACATGGATTAATATACACATAACAATTTAAAACAAATATATTAAACTTTCTATTCGTGTATTTCGAAATAGAAAAAAATTCGGAATATTCTGGCTTCTTTAAAAAGAAATTTTCTTACAAGACAGAAAAAAGATATATCGTAATAATTCTGTAAATGCTATTTTTTCTTTTCTCAGGTAGACATAGTCAAGGTTTTTTTATATTAACTGCAGGATGTCACTTTAGAATGCTATCTAAGTTTGACCTTTAAACATCCCAGGGTGCTTTAAGATAGTAGTTTTTTGAAGCTACTCAAAGTACACTTAGAAAAAAGATTTTATTGTATTAAGAAAATAAATTAATCATAGATTTACTGCGTAACTTAAAGATAAAGAACAAACCTAGTCGTTTATCATTAGATTTACGAGCTTAGATTTTTTTTGAAAGAAGAATATAGCGATTTCTCTGGCAAAAAAACTAAATTCTTTTTTATCCAAACCAATACGAGCAGATTAAAATCAAGGATGATAAAAATGAATAAAAATTATTCTACATAAAAATTTCAAACCTCAATATTTTAACAAATTTTAGTTGTTACAACATTCTATGAGTACAAAAAGCGTAGAAATTAAAAAGCATAAAAGAACAACAATTAAGAAAAGTGAAAGAGAGTAAAATGTACGCCAATGTGTGTTGATCAGTTCATTATTTTATTTTAAGAAATTAGATTTCACAGTTAATGTTGACATAATTTCCCGAATTCGTTAAGCGTTAATCTCGTTGTTTCGTAAATAATTAATTTCTATCTTTATTTCAAACGCAGAAAATTTATTCAAATCTGTATTCGAGTCAAAAAGAAAAGCGCGGCCACATGCGTATAGTAAAATCTATTGTACGTAATTATAGAACAAACTCGTGTTTGCGATATCAATATTTGCAATACACCAAAAGAATCCTTACCATTTTGTCGTTTTCTTCCATAATTTTCATATAAGTATACAAAAACGTATGATCAAATTACAAATCGTAACCATAACGCACTAAATTATAAGAAGTCGTAATTGGTCATGTTTTTTTCGATTATTCAAGAAAAACAACGAATTCATCGTTTAAAAAATATCTCCGTCGTAAGTTTGTTTGAAACTTCATACTGAATATAAAAAAGCAGAACACACTAAAACTATACAATATCAACGTCAGATGCATTATATCACGATGTCCAAGTACACCCCACGTTGTAACCACGTGGCGACTAAATAAAGCGCACTACATGTATTACTACATGTGCTACTACACGTACTACTCTCGAAGCAAGTTGCACGTAAAATGAACTGTAGCAACTTCTTCGCTCTCCAAGTAGCCTCCGGAGAGATTGAATGAAGATATTCTATTGGTGCAGTATCCCACCATTCTCACCCCCACCCTACTTTCGCTACTATTGGTGCTCATACAATTGAAAAGGTGCAAACAAATGAGAAACAGAAAGGAAAAACTGGTTTCGTTGAATAGATAATCTATTTTATTTTATTTTATTTTTTTTTATTATAAATAAATATGATGTGCTAATTTTTGTGATTTTTTCATACAAAATAATTTTTTCGTCAAACTTGCTTCCGTTCGTTAAAACTTTGTAGATTCTATATTCTTCTACTTATATATTTTTGTAATCTTTTAAATATTTTATAAAATACTCATTACCTAAAAATAAGTCTGGAAATTAACGTTGTGAGAGTTTTATCATCTTAATTTTTCCAATCCGTTAACACTGTTTAGAATGACAGATTCGATCTTATTTATCAGTCAAAATATAATATACACGTACCGTGATAATTATCAATCGTTTTAGAATCTAATGACTTATGTGTAATATTATTTTCGTTTTAATGAGATGTTTCGTGTGTTAATAATCCCATTCATGCAATGAGCGAATTAGGCTGCTAAGTATATATAAATTTCCATACCCATAGAAAAGCATTTTTTTATATCAAGAAAACTTTCACTAGAGATTATAATAAAATCTAAACTTAGGTGAGAACTCAGAAATGAAATATAATGGCACTTTTATATATAGCTCATGCACACTTAGAAATAAATCTTGAACATTGTTAAACCAGAAATAGTCGAACTAATAATTACGTATTACGTTTTTTTTTATAAACGATAGAAAATGGTATGTAAGCTGTAAATATTAACAGCAAGCAAGGCAAACAGAAATTATTTCTACAAAATAATTTCAATTCGATAATTTTAATAAAACTGTTATCTCGAAACATATAATCTTTATATCGCAAATATATACTGATATTTATATACATAATATGTATGTTTTTTTTGGTAAGCTTTATGCTCACTACCAGACGTGATAGAATGAAGCGAAAATTAGAGCTCACTCATGATATAGCATGAGTTATTTAATTTGCCAATTCATATTTCAATAATATATTCTAAACTGAAGCTATAGTCAACAAACTGTCTCACCTTCGGTATATTACACAGCCTTTCTCGCTCCTCCACATCTAACTGTAATTCATACATACTATTCAAACAATGTCCGTTTTTAGTATGTAAAATTATATGTATTAGATGTCGCGCAAGGAATAGGATTTGTAACAATTATAAACGTGTTAGAAAATCAAATATATGAAGAGTACTGAGATATTGTGAGAAAAATGTTATATACTAACACAACGACATGACGCGCGAATTAACTCGCAAGAAATTAGTTGGATTAAATCAAATATTAAGTTTGATTTGCATTTGCTATATACACATATTACTGTTTCTTTTTACTTATTTCTAAATAAGATCTAAGAAAGAGTAATCTATATGTATAGTACAAGAAATAAACCAGTAACACGAGACAAACTAATGTGGAAATTAGTATGTGGGTACATATACATGTATATAATGAAATTAACTTAAATGCGGCTTTTGAAACAAAAAAGCAAGCAATGAATTCTACATTTATTGCAAAAAATACGAATGAGAAACAAGAATCATACTTACAGAATTGTTCTGGGAGATTGTGTCCACCTGCTGCATGTTGTCTTCGTTTCTGTAACAGACAAAAAACACTCTGTAGCAAGATTAATTTACATAAGATGAAAAATATAAAAAAAAGCAGAATCTATATTGTGTTAGTTAGGTTGCATGACATGTATATGACATGCTTGTACCGAAGCATTTTATAAAAAGTAGTATTTTTTTTAGTTTTACAAGAAGAAAAGACTAACTTGATTAATCCTATCTGGTGAACTAGATTTAACATTTACGACATTCCATCTTAATACTCTTTCATTCATTACTGTCTCGAGAAATGAGGATTTAATCAATTTCTATCCATGTTTTTTCATGACTTACAGAGGAACTTTTATGTACATATTCTATTTTATGTATATATTCTAATATTTTTTATGCATTGTGCGCGTGTGTCTTGTAATCATCTACTCCTGATATTTTATACATTTTTTTGAATTCATTATGCTTAAAAGTGTTATGTGTCATATTGTTTAATAATCATTTGTACCAATGGCTGGTCCATTCCCACCATAATAAACTTCTCACCTACCTTTCCGACATATATGATACATAAATGCTATGCAGCAGGTAACTGCTTTACGCTGATGCTTGACGGGCATTCATCAACAATTGAGATGGCAAGTACATATTCTGATTTGAGCATGGCAGCTCATTAATAGCTCGCCAACACGAGTGCGCTGCAACTGGGAAGATTGGTACCGAGGAGGCATAACACTACTCAAGTCTACCAAAAGGTAGCACTTTGAATGTCAGCCATGTATACCGCACAGAGACTCCGTACCTCCAGGCACTCGTAACATTAGCAACATCTGGATAACATAACAATAGGACCCCATATTGTAACAACCCCAAAAAAATTGATTCATTACTTTAGAATGATGTAACACATTGAGAAATATGTGTGTATATATATATATATATATATATTCTCACAAAGTTTGTATATTAACATATCATGCAAAACTGAATCTAGCAAATACATGCTGGGAAGACAAAATCTATTTCTTTGCTGTATACATTACTATATATATGTATGTTAAATTACATCAAGTCAAATATGTGTAAATTACTTTGTAGTTCTCTTTTCGTGTAACATTCTATATTGCGAAAAACATGTGATTAATGTACTACTCTCTGTCAAAGTGAAATTATACTCTTCTATATGATAAGTAGGAAACTTGATAATGTAACATGTAACTTGTAACACAAAATAATAAATAATTCATTATTTCAAAATTTTTGGTCAATTTTTCTCTTTTTTGAAGTTGATACATGGTTACTATTTTAATATAATTTTATCGCTACTTTTGACAGGTTTTTTTTCAAGAGCTATCTCTAGAAAGAATATATAAATTTAAGAAATATTCTTATCTATATATGTACATATGTATATAAACTAGAGAATATTATTTGATACAATTTTAGTTCTTAGTTAAACAGTTAATTGAAGATACAAACAGGAAATAATAAAGAAAGATGACAGATTAACCAGATATTACTCACACAATTTGATTACAACTTAGTGTCAACTTCAAAATATGAGACAACTCAGATCTGTTTGAACTTGAAAAGTTGAATACAAGATTCAGCATACCCTATATCAGTTTGTTCAGTGGCCAGGACAGGCCAAAATGGAAAGTTTGACAAAAGTGGCACAAATAAGTGGTACACTGGTATAGAAAGTGACATAGCTATTAAGATGCAAAATTGGCGGTGCAAGGGAAGATCATCACATATCGCGTCGGTGGCGACTGTTGAATTGCATCCATGTGCGAGCACAGCTTGCAAATACGACGAGAACGGTCCCGTCGCAGACGATTTGCGCCATGAAGAAGCTACGGCGAAACTAGGTATATATCAAGGGCAGACAGATAAGTGATCTCGCGCTTGGCTCGAACAGGTGCTCTCTGGTCGAAAAAGACGTCCGTGGTAGGAGAGGAGAAAGGCGATATTCACGGGCGAGAGATGCGAAGGAGAGAAATAAGCGCAACGATGAGAGACCACGACAGCGGGTCGGTGGTGGTGGTACGGCGGCGGTGGCGGCAAACAGTAAAGCGGCATCGATGATAACGACGTTGACGACGACGATGATGAGGATAACACAACAGTCGGGGAACAGGAAGAAGCGGAAAACAAATAGAGGAGAGATCGGTGCGGGGGAAGATCAACGGATCCGCGCCCAGCCGACGCACAACAAACACGGGGCCAAGCCGCCGCGCGGATAACTCGACCAGCCCGAGAGCGGGCAAGCGTGGCGATTGGCGCCACGGTGAAAAAGAGAGAGAGAGAGAGAAAGAGAGAGAGAGCTATTATGACGCCGTGGGGAATTGTGACGGCGGGCCCGCGATACAGGCCGGGTAAACGGGATTTTCGCCGTGCCGCGGAAATCCGGACCTGTCTCTCTAACCGGACATTGAATTCGGCATAGGTCTCAACATGGCGGGTATGCCCGTTCGAGAAAGAAAGCTCCCAAGGGCCCGCCGCACGTCGCGCCGCGCTCATGGCACCCGCCGCCGCCGCCGCCGCGATGGAATACGCGGCCACGCGCGTTCACTTCCCTGGCGGCCCACCCGGATACGCCGTACCACGGCGTCACCCGCGATCATCTTACCTGATCAGAGATGATCCACTTTCCAGCAGGAACTCTATTCGCAAAACACTACCACTAAGGCTTCGGGCACCTCGCACTATGCTTTCTCCCTCGCTCGTTAAGTTTGGTTGGTCGGTCGGTGTTATGGCCGCCGCGCGAGTAGTGCCCCACCGTGTATCTCTCTCACTAACTCACTCTCACTCGCGGGAGCGCGAGCGCTCGGTTCGCATACGCGACGAGATATAACGCGAAGACGCGGGCTACGAACTAGTCCCAAGTACTTAACGCGTTTCACTCGGCGCGTACGTCTTGCGTGACACCGACACTCGTTTCAATAATCCGCGTCGCGCCCCGTCGACACTTTTCCGGAGCTACGCGCGCTCGAAAATCCCTCCTTGCCCATGACGAGATCTCAAGCTAACGATCGCATCACCAACAATGGCTACGCGTTCTTCGCCGAATGAAATGGTCCTGTTCCGTCGTTCCTTTACGCGCGACCTATATATACATAGTAGCCCCCACCACCGCTTGTTACCACTACGAGTCACGCGGAGCCAATCGGATGGCGAACCGACTGGATCCCGCGCGTATTTCGAACATGAAGCGGCGCCTGCCGGTCTTCGGGTTATCAGCCTCGTGTAAATCTCCTGGCGATGACAGATGTCTAGCGATAACAAAAATCATCTAATCTGACGTCGGCTCTTTGATGTTTTCTGCTAACTTCCGTCTAGCCCGCGAATATACAGGCTAGAAATTGATTAGGCTAACAACGAACCGGTGGTACTAGAATGAGCTTCGAGATTGCGTTCGTGAGAATTGAAGGATTGCTCCTGACGAGTCTGTGATCTGGTACGAAAAAGGACGAAATAGAGGTGTCAAAACCCTGAACACTGGCGATATTTATTACACTCAGAGTACACAGTAGATGATATGTAGTAGTAATCAGAAATACTTTATTTGGTAGAAAGGTGTACAAGTTCATTAACCAATCTAAAAATTAACGGTTAATTTCCATCGTTTCGTGTTTCACCCATAATGCACTTGTGTCAAGTAGACACGGCAAGGTCGATGATTAATAATAGTCATATAATAAATAAAAGTTTGTATATATGTATGCGAAAATTTTTATCGCGCCGAAAGCGCGCGAACTCTCGCGCCGAGACGGGAATTTAACCAAACTTGCCAAAGTTTGTCAATCGCCGCTGTTGTATCGAGTGTGAAAACGGTCCGATTCCACGATTCTGCTGTTTACCACGCGACGCATCATGGGAAAGCGCAAGACGCAAAATCCATAATTACGCCACTAACGTACCGAAGACAACAGCGTTCCGACGATCAGTTTTTCAGGGACACGTTGCAACAAACTGGGGGGTTAAACCGACTCGAGATGCCGCCGACGGGCACGTGGCCGAGCGCCTTTCCGCGCGTAGCGTTTCACCGTCGTGACGTCTACGTCGTCATCGATGTTCTGTATCGAATTCCGTTAGGTCCCGTCCAACATGGCGGCACGAGCGATTGACCTTTGCCTCGAGTCGTCGTCGTTGGCCTTGAGAGATAGCGCGAACGATACGCGAGCGTCAAACAACAGGGGAACACATTGATCTAGCGGACAACGACGTCGCCCGTTTGCGAGGGAACGCGCGAATTAAAACTCACATCTCGCGAACACGTGGAGCAATATAAATCGTCGACACATCAGCAGATATCGTGGACTCGTGACACGGCACAACTACGAGAGTCAAATCAGATACCGAGCACAACGACAACCAATTCTTGTCACCAATAATAGCATGCTCATGTGGAAATATATCGGTAATTTCGTGTAACTAACGTTTTGTCATTCAGTTCATTAGCCATCGCTGGATTTCCTGGTGGATTGCAGGTCGACACCGACGTGCACGTCGACGACGCGGCGGCGGCNCGGCGGCGTCGTCAACGCCGAGGCACAAAATGGCGATTGGACTGAGAGACGTGCGTGCACTTCGATCACAAATATAGGATCAACTCTCACACTCTACGGTCGATCTCGACGCGATGCGCGAGCTCGCCGCTCGGTTTCGGCGGCTTATCGCGACTTGCGAGACAGCGGGACGCTATTTATTGCGTTTTTATTACTGGCGGAACTGTCATATATTCTCGACAGTGACGAGAAACCCACCACACGTCACGTCTGCTTTGACGATGCAATTGAAATACGAAAGTCAAGTCAGAGCTACTGTACTACCACGTACGCGCAATTTGTACCGTGAAACTGGACGCCTTACGAGTTTTCGGCTGATAGATACTTAAGCCGCTGTTTTCACGCCACCGACTCGTCACCGATTGGCTGGGACGCTCCTTTACCTCTCCGCACGAACCGAAAGACCAATCATTAACCACGAACTAATATTGATGAGTCATCGCGTTTTCGGACTTGCCACAAGTTGCAAGCAGAGTTGCACCACAGGGGAAAGATAACAGTAAATCGTTATCTGTTCCTCATGATGTGATATCTGATCTATACTTGACTAAGAGATATCGAAGGGTCCGGAAATGTCCATCAAACAGTCATTAAATAAAAACTTTTTTCATTAAGAAAATATTTACCGTCTTATTTTTTTTCTGGAAAAAATCTTATATTTTTCTCACAGTACGTGTTGATCTTATTTCGTGTATTGCGACACACATGTTCGACAGAGACTTTTACAAACAATGATAAATATGGGAATTGTTTTTTCTTTGAATTTGAACTTGTACAGAGGACACAAGCTACGTATGTATGTATTGTGTCCTCATGTAGACGATAGTTTTGAAAACAAATTTTAATTCGCGTTGAGATACGTGAATTCAATCGGTCGAAGACTTCAGTGAGAGTTCGAGATATTTTGTGTGTTACACTCTTTTATTATTAATAATAATTTCTTTTTATTGTTAAAGTTTAGATTTTTACTCAACCTTAATTTTTCAATTAATTTGTTAGTAAATCTAGCTAAACCAGCTATATCTACTCAAACAGTAACGTCTATCCCTATTTAGGAGACTAAAATACATTTTAAAAATTTTAAACATTTTTCGAATCTTTTAGACAGACTGCTCCAGACACTCATTAAAAAACGTCCATTCTCATGTTACCCTAAAGGTATGCGAACGTCACATTGGTCACATATGTATGCATTAGAGAAAACAGAAATTTTTTGTTGTTCTTAAATCCAAATATATAATACTAGATAAGATAAAGGAATAATGTATCAAAAACTAACATGTAAAGACACGTTAAATATATAAATAAAATTTTCTCTAATGATAGATAGCGCAATGAGAAACTTTTATATCGTTTCGATATTAATTAATTTTCTCATCAACCAAGAAATATTGTGTGGCAATTAGTAAATTAGTAATTGAAAATAATTATTTAATGAGATATTTTATAACGCAGCTGCAAAATAATTGAATTTTAAATACTTTTTAATAATGCAAATTTCTTAAGAGTTTTGTCAAATTATATGTAAAAAATAACGAAGTGTACAGATATTTATAGAAAACTGCCGTTTATCATAAAGATATAAAAGACATGTGTTTACGGTCTGAACTGAAATTGTTGCAATATTTTTTATAAACTATTTTTTCTCGCCGGTGAAGTCAAAATTTGTTCTTCGAAACATACAGTTAATAACAGAAAGTAGTTTTCGGGAGAATGTAAACGTTCCAAAACTAATAGATTATTCTTTTATCTCTCTTTGCTTACTTACCAAATAAACTGCAGTCTATATATATTTGTATATATTTATCGCATCATGTTTCGATAAGTAATCAATACAGTTGAAATCAAAGAGATGCCATTATGAATTTTAAATCTGTTCACGAAGGAAATTGTTACAAGTCCAGACTTGCATCGGTATGTCGGACTATCGGAACACCGTGAATATAAAGTTCGAAAGTAACGAAAAAAAAAAAAAAACGAGAGAACAATACTCTAACAGAACAACTTGTCATTCTTGGAAGAAGGGACGAGTTTCCCTTTTTTTTCTGTCAGACCGTCATTTATCGTCTCTTAAACTTTGTTCAATAGAAGATGACGGATTCTCTAGGGAAGACCTTATTTTTGTAGGCTCCTCACAACAAAGACCTCAAGCAACGCAATAGAATTTTGTTCAGAGCGAAAGAAAATTTCGCATAGCTCTTTTATATTTTATTTGAATAAAAATCAAATTTTAATCTTTCTAAGAACAGTCTACATTTTTCACTTTTAGTTTCTTTCATGCTCGACCGGATGCATTTCTATAAAACATTTTAAATGACTAAAAACCGAAAACTCTTGAGTTAACTTTCTCACATTTTTTTCTTCGTTTTCGAGATTTTTCTCATCTCTACTGCTACTATTTATTCAATAAACTTATACATAAATCTGAAATTTGTAATTGATTGAATTGATTTGTAACCTGATTATATAAATTTTTCTATTACATGACAATCTCATATCTTCAAGGCCGGCGATTAGTATGTGGAATAAGGGAATACTCCACACATGTGAACTTGACGTGTGTGGAATTTCCACATATGTCGAGCAATCAAACTATATGTTTGCCAAAAGATATTTATCGAAAAATGTTTTTTGAAATAATAGATCAAACTCCTTGTTCTCTAAAACATAGATTTGAAAACGAAGCACTGTCGTTCATAAGAAAATGTGAACGGTATATAATTAATAACGAGTCCGACAATACGTTTCTAACAAATTTTTATAATACTGATAAAGAAGATCATCTTGATCCCAAAAGATTAGAATTGAATCGCGAAATTTGTTTTGACATAATGCGTAATCGCAAAGTAAAAGCCAACAGTTTGAAAGATGTAGTTAACTTTATAAAAAGTAACTTATCACTTTTAAGCATCGCGTTAGAGTTTGTAAAACTAATAAAATTATTACTTGTTATATCTGTGTCAACTTGTACTTGCGAGCGGTCGTTTTCTGCGTTAAACCGATTCAAAAATTACGTTCGACAATGCTTCAAAATAGGTTAAATAGCGTTACCATAATGAATTTGTATAAAGAAGAAGCTGAACAGATAGATTTAGAAAAACTAGTAAATGAATTCATATGCAAAAATAACATTCGATGAGCTACATTTTCATTGAAAAATAAAATAAAAATAAATAAGGTAATTATTTAGATTAGGGGCTTCCTCTCCTATTTTAATGAACTTGAAATATGTTGTTAGGGACATGATTCTGAACAACTTTTCCCTATACATGTTACCGCCGCTCGGCCTTAGTTTCCGAGATATTTGCAAAAGAAGTTTCAGAAACGAATTCTATGTTTTGCGACATCGTGTCGATTTCTGAAGTAAATATGTTGTTTGGATAACACGTGTAGGCAAGGAGGGCTATTCTTCCCCGCAGGGGGAGGGGCTACGCCTATAACATTATATTGCCGACTTCTTATTTAAAAGATTATATACTGTAATGGTTTAGCTTATATTACACAGTGATAGCACAGTGGTAACACAGTAATACGTAAACACTATTGAGGTCGAATAATACACAGTATTGTATACGTTAAATATTTAATTGCTATTTGTTCTAACAGTACATACAGTGAAACGGAAGAAAATGAAATTGTTTGATCTATTAAACTAAAAATTTACGAAAGTACTAATTGAATCGCCCATGTTGAATCTCGCTTCTCGTAGAAAGTGTAAAATTATTTTTAAGCGTGTAAGCAGGAGGGCTGCGCCCCCCCTGCACCCCCCTAAAAAACCTAACCTAACCCTAACCTAAACTCTTCTTTCTGCATTCTCCCTCGCAAAATTTTTATTCATTTCTATTGATATTGTAGTAACATAGATTAACCATTGTGGAAATTTTTCACGGGGGAATGCAAAAAAAAGAATTTAGGTTAGGGTTAGGTTAGGTCTTTAGGGGGGGTGCAGGAGAGCGCAGCCCCCCTGCTTACACGCTTAAAAATAATTTTGTGCAACAATCAATCTGAACATGTATTTGTTTCAACTCGAGTTTGTTTGTGGTTGTCACGCATCACGTGCGCATTGTAATATATACGTAAATGCAGTGGATTTAACGTTCTAACATGAAAACGGTTGGAGTTAGGTAAATGAATATCATAACCTTTTTTATAGAAAATCGAATTTCTTACAGGTTTTATTTGAAAACTTTTCCCATAACGTAATTACTTTCCGAGATAATCGTAATAATAGTAATAAACCTTCTTTTGTTTATAACTCGAAAACTAAAGCCGAGCGGCGGTAACATGTATAGAGAAAAGTTGTTCAGAATCATATCCCTAACAACATATTTCAAGCTCATTAAAATCGGAGAAGAAGCCCCTAATCTAAATAATTACCATTATCGATTTACTCTTCTTTGAACCACACCACACATGTAAAAAAGATACTTCGCCGGCCCTGCATTTCTTGTTTCTTATTATTTATTTCATATCTTTTTTGAGAATGTATATAATGTGTATATAATAAAGTTTCTTTACAATTTAAAGCTATTTTATAAATTTGATATTTGTTTTAGTTTCATGAATTTTTTCGAAAGTTAAAACACTTTTGTGTGTGCATCACACGATCGTCACGCAAACTTTGTTGAGTAAAAATGTAAGTAAGTAAAAATAAAGATGCAAAAAAATAATAAATTTTTCTTTCATTGTTCTTATATTTGTCAGTTCTCGGAACAGAGTATATTTTACAAATTAACGCGTACATAAACTTGCTTATACATGTATACATATAATCGATATAATTTATAAGCAAATATATATACACATATTTTACTATGTGTATAAAACGCATGTAGCATCGTATTAGAGAACTCCCCAAACTTCCTCAAATGCTGTGCATAACTTGCTACATGTAACAGCTCCTGACAGAGGATAATTACTAATCGAGAAGGTGTCTTCTGTATAATCAGTTTTGACCTAGAAAACAGCAGTAGAAAATCACTAATTATATATATATATATCTTTAGAGATTAGAGCATAGAGATTAAAACGCAAAAGTTTAACACTATTTCGTAAGAATAAATATTACTTGGCCATGTGCCATAGCACCAACAACAATAGTAATTGGATCTTCGGGAGGTACAATCTCACGTGGATTTATCACTTTATTTGCACTGAAAGACATCAGTATTTTACGACAACCGACTGGCAAATGATCGGACACTGGATTTTTAATTACTTTCAGAAGCTTCATTGGACCATCGGATGCTCTAACGCTGTATTTATGTAAAAGTTGTACTGCAATAAAATATTCATTAAAAATATCTAGTACTAGTGTAATATAAAAATATTTATAGAAATAAATATTTATAGAAATATTTATTTTATTTAAGAAATCTTTAAATAAATAGAGAAAAAAGAGAGAAAACAGACACAATTTTGATAGATAGATTCGATTTACTTTTAAAGGAATCAAGATATTCCAGATTAGAAATGCATATGTGATTGAGGAAATAAAACAAGAGAAAAATGTAGAGACTAAAGCAATGATAGAATTGATATAAAAATAAGAGTTGATAAAAAAATGAGAAATGCAAAGTATAATGCTAGATATACATTATTAAAAATTAATTTGATCAAATATTTCACAACAAATTCCATTTTTAATGTTAAATTTTTGAATTTAATACTTTCTTTTTTTTTATTTCGCAAACTGTAGGAAACGAGAAATTTATGTAAGTTAGAAAAAAAAATTTATGATCTCTGAGACTACAATGTATAATAGAGGTGCATGCATATAATAAAAGTGAACCGGACGTTACGGTCTTCACTTCACGCTGTGAGCTTCAAATACTAAATAGAAATAAAAAATGTACCTAACTCAGTGGGGAGTACAAAAAAAGAAAATCAGCAGGAAACTTAAGATACTTATTTAGGGACCGATGCTAAGATCGTTATTGTATGGTCACGCGGCTGAACGGTCTGAAGTAATCAAAATCGACACTTAACATGTTAAAAAATATTTTATTTTAATTCAATTTAATTTTAATTTTTATTTTATTTTATTATAACTTTTAAAATTTTTACTATCAAAATGATTTATAAAACCTATATATCTAGTTTGTATTTATATACTATATATACTCTAACTATATATATTATATGTATAATATATAAAGAAGTATATTCTGTAATTAACATATTCACTATCACAGTCGACCAAGCAAATCGCACTAAAAAAAATAGTGAAGAACTTTCTAAATGTTATTCTAAATGTAGTTTTATATTATTTTTCCGTTGCAATATAGATAAAGTTAAAAAAAAGTGTTCATTTTAAACAATGTATTAATTGCCATTCTGTACAACTTTAATTGGCATGTGAACTTGATAGGTGCGCTATCATTGTATGCAAAACTGATCAAGGTCCAGCAACATAACATACAATAAAATATCACCAAATATATTAATAATATAGAATAATAAATTATCCAATAGGTTTACTTTTATGTAACTTTACAGAAAAAAACAATTTTGTTTACGCTTACCTATCAATCCAGCAAATCGTTTAAATGTCCTAGGTATCCTAGTTTGAGGATTGATTTCTATCAATACATTTTTTTCTGTATGTACATAAACTTGTAACAAACCAGCTCTGTTTAATGGACTGTCCATCAGCATTAACAAACACTGATGAGTAATGTCTGGTCTACATGTTCCAGGATCACGATTGTTTTTCTTTAGAATATTTGCGTGATCATCGCAGTTTAACAGTTCAAAAGTGCTTCCAACCTAATAAAATATATAAATGCAATAGCTAGCGATAAGTTAAAATACATTAACATCAAATTGTCTTCTGTTTTATTTGTAAACTATGGAGTTTGCAAAACTCTATTTTCAGAATATAATATAAAATCATAAAAATTTAAAATTGATGTAGAAATGTATCATACGATAATAAATATAAGAGATATATGAAAAAGTTGAAACATTTGATTATTGAATTCTTTTAATTTTTATTTGAAACAATTATTGAGCTTGCACAAATCTATCTTCAGTAGAATAAAATATTTAAAAATTATCAACGTAGAAAACGTAGAAAACATTTACTGCAAAAGAAAGGGCTCTTACAGCCAATTTTTTCACTTCTAGATAAGTTTTCGATAACTTTATCTAGAAGATATCTCCCAAAATTAGTTCTCCTTATTGGTTCTCAGAGGAATTTATCCAGAGGATAGCTATCGAAAGGTATGAAGAAATCGGGTCTAACGGCCGATTTCTTCATACCTTTCGATAGCTAGGTATGAAGAAATCGGGTCTAACGGCCGATTTCTTCATATCTCTCGATAACTATCTAGATAAAGATATATAAATTTCAAACGTGACAGGCAGTTGGAACTAAAAACACGGGTGTTGTTGTGCGAATATGTGATGGTAATATTATTTATTCATGTATATAAACGAAACATAATAACGTTTCGACCTTAAATTTAGGTCTTTATCAAGTTAGATATGTGCTGTTTAACAAACTTCGTACAATACAATGACGATAAGTAAGATGTTACAATAAGTCGTATCGCAAACAAGAGCTGTACATGACTGTCAGTCATCATTGTATTGTACGAAGTTTGTTAAACAGCACATATCTAACTTGATAAAGACCTAAACTTAAGGTCGAAACGTTATTATGTCTCATTTATATACATGAATAAATAATATTACCATCACATATTCGCACAACAACACCCGTGTTTTTAGTTTCAATTGCCTGTCACGTTTGAAATTTACATATTTTTGGAACTATTTGCCCTTTCTCTGAATTATAAAAAGATATACTTATTTTATCTAAAACAGAGCCTTCCAATTCGCGCACGACGTGCGGTTTACGCCATAAGATTTCTATGCAGTCACATGATCAGTTGGAAGGCTCTGATCTAAAAGATAAAGTTATTGAGAACTTATCAGAAGTGAAGAAATTGGGCATTAAATGAAAAGCAACAGAAAAACATAACCTTACTTTTACAGATTCAAGTTGAGCACTCTCCAAGACAACAACAAGACGTTTCTCTTGATTCTTGATATGTCCTATTTGCAAATGGCTTGGCGCTGGATCATATTCGTATTCACTGTCATCGCGCTTCTTCCTCTTTTGTCCCATTTTGTACGTTTTTTAACTACAAGTGTCACTGTATCAACACACACGTGACAGGAACACGTTCCGTTTCATGCATATGCGCGCATAATCTATATATATATGTGACGTGAACTATAGATAAATGCGCGTTGGGGAGCACGCTATCAGCGCTATTGCGTCATTCTATCCTTGTTTTACATCTACTAAGGCCCGGTTTCACAATTGACGGTTAACTCGAATTAACGGAAGCCCAACTTGCTGAGCTCGGTTTAACGCGTTCAATCTTCTTTGTCAAATCTTCGCTAACCAATCACAGTTCATGTTTAGGAAGAAAAGATGCGTTACGCCGAGTTCAGCAAGTTGGGCTTCCGTTAATTCGAGTTAACCGTCAATTGTGAAACCGGGCCTAAGCACTAAAGACAGAATGATACAACAACGCTAAAGCCCCTTGCACAATGGAAGGAATAGCGATAGCAATAGAAATAACACAGTTTTTAACACAGAATTCCAACTCGTCAGAAATTTTATCGCTATTGCTTATTCCGATTTTCTGATCTGCATTGATACATGTGTATTTTTGTATGTTAAGAGCCGTCTACAATGGAGAGTTGTAGGCCGTAACAGTAAGAAATTGACAAATCACAATCAATTATTCTTCTGTACTTTGTCTGTGATTGGTCAATTTCTTACTATTACGGCCTACAACTCTCCATTGTAGACGGCTCTTTAAGTTCCACTTGCCGTTTGAAACGCTCATGAAATCATTTCAAGAGCCGTCTACAATGGAGAGTTGTAGGCCGTAACAGTAAGAAATTGACAAATCACAATCGATTATTCTTCTGTACTTTGCTTGTGATTGGTCAATTTCTTACTATTACGGCCCACAACTCTCCATTGTAGACGGCTCTTCATCTTTGGTTTTTAGGCCTGTTCTACAATACAGTCGTAAGCTGTAAGTCGCAAGAAGTAGAGCAATCACAGATAGATTACAGAAGAATAATCGATTGTGATTGGTCAATTTCTTACGACTTACGGCTTACGACTGTATTGTAGAACAGGCCTTATCAAAAGTTAAACAAAGATAGATAACGTTCACGAACGTTGCGAACGGCAAGTGGAACTTATCATTTGTCGGTCTGTAAATAAACTTGTGGTCATAATGTGAATAAAATTTGCGCACGTAAGTTAGTCAGATTTCTAACTTATTTACCAGAGATATAAGCATAAGTTACTTACCGTAAATAAGTTAGAACACGACTTTACCTTTTGTAAATATTCGCAACTATTATCGACACAAGACGACTTACCGATCGACAAAATGGCTGCCGTCGGCCATGTTCTAATAGTCTATTGTCACATTCTTAGACCATATATACTTATAGACACGGCCTGTAGATATGAATCCACGAGTCGAGGTGAAGCAAAGATAATATCATCTACGTGACGTCACATGTGGGCATTTCAGCAATGGCTAAACGCGGCCTCGTAGATGATATTATCTTATCTTCAAGGCACTGAAGCCGTCTATAAACGCGCCTTTGCTTTGCCCACATGTGACGTCATGTAGATGATATTATCTTTGCTTCAAGATAGTTGTCTGAAGCCGTGTCTATAAGTATATATGGTCTAAGGTCACATTTGTGACATGATGTCAACAATGTCCGGTAAATAAACAAAGCGTACGTAATATAAATTATTATTATAGTAACATAATAGTCTTTTTGTGTGTTATTGCAAGGCAATAGAAAATTTGTAATTTTATAAGTTTTTGTGCATAACAATAGATGTTTGTATTTCATACATATTTAAACATTTTTTTATATACTGAAATACGTAGCATTTTTATTACTGAATTTTTATTGTCTTGCTTGAATTCGAAATAGTGAAATTTTGTGCATTGAGCAACTTGTAAAACGTTTCGTTTCAAGAAACATATGAAGGAAATCGACAATACGCCGACGTTATTAAACGGGGTTTTGTAATTTCATGCGGTTTTTTGGACTCTCAATTATATGTATACTTTATCTTCTGAAAGCGAATCCTTTACGACGGCTCTTCGTATCGACGAGCAACTGCGCTTGTTTTTTTAACGCGTTTCGTGATGGAATGTCCTCTTCGTCTTCCGAAAGAGGAACAGCCGGAGTCGCGCAAGACGGAAATCGCGGAAATAATGGCCCGCCACTTTTCTCACGCGGTGTTTTACCTTCTGCCGAAGTTGTGGCGATCGACATTGTTTCTAACTGAAAACAAACAGGTATAAACGAACATTCTGATCGATCCCATAAAAATGATCTTTGAAGTGGCATTCACATAAGATAAATCACGAAAATGCAGGATAAATCACACATGTAAAAAACACAATAAGAGCAGTGTAAACAAATCAAATCGAGCCACAGACATGTTTCTTTGCAATGTTTACGTGCTGGTTTAATTTTTTTGTAGCTAAAGAGTTACTGTTTGCTTACGCACTGATATACAGTGTTGCAACACGAGAACCAACCTTGTCTAATAAAGTTTCATCTATTGTCTCGATATATTTGTCGGATGTGTTGAGAACGTCAAGTCCTTCGTTGACTTTGGTGTTTAATAATTCGATAATTGCTAAAGTATCATCCATTTTGACATCTTCAAGTATAGGAGTGTCTGTAACGTGCTAAAAATATGATTTTTCAACTAGTATTTTGATAAAAGACATAAAAGTAAGTACAATTAGCACAGCTGCGTATACATAGCATATATGTATATAAGCCAATATATCAGACCATAGATTAGGATTTGATTGATTGACAAGAGTAAGATTTAACCTAAGGAAAGAGGTTTTTCCGCACATTGTCGCAAAAACACTGGTAGCGAGCAAACTTCACTTCATTATGAAATAAAAACAGTTCTCTTGTTTAAAACAATCTTCTTATGTATCAGTAGATATCACATGATAAAATATGTTCATTTCTAGCAATACGTACCGATCAAAAACGATTTTGTTATGAAGATTTTGTTGCAATCTGAGTTTAAGGCCGCCTCGACCAATGAGCATCCAGCACAGAGCGTGAGCATCGTACATCTAGCACGACGCTCGTGCTCTATGCTAGGTGCTCATTGGTTGGGACCGCCTTAGTTCATAAGTATGCAGTTACGCCAGTTCGAATACGTTTCGCTTGGCATTTGCAACGATCGCGATCAAATCACTTCTACAACGTCATTGGTCGATTTGCCGAATCAAACAAAACGAAAGTGATTACGAACGTCAAAAGAAAGCAACAAGTTCGTGTCGAAAAAGTCGGACAATTTGTGTCGGAAATTAACATCTAACCTGTGAGTTCTGCGTACTCGGTTTCCCGATAGAACCAATACTTGATTTTTCACGCGGTGCGCGCCCCGTGTGTTTGTTTTCGATCGAACATCCGGAGGTGTTAATGCGCAGAGCGGGCGACGCAACTCGAGGTGAGAATTACAGAACGCGGGCTATTCAAGAAAAGCCATCCATCGCGACGGACACGGAGTTTCCAGGAACGATAAATAGCCGAGACCGCTTGGTTAGACGCCATTAAAGACGGTTTCACTAATTTAATTAGGCGTTTATACACGGTATTTCCATTTCGAAAATTACGCAGCCCCGTGCGTCGAACACGTTTCCCGGGTGACGTGATAATTCGCGGCGACAAGGTACATACAGTGCTAATTGAGATTCTTACATTTTGACAATCGACCGCACGGTCGATACTTGGGTATATTTGTTTCGCGCCGTAATTATCGCACCCTTTCTCACCTGAAACTTTTCACACAGATTGTACAACCTGCCGTTTACTTCGCTCAAAAGCTCGCGGATTCGCCGACTCGCGGTCTCGGCGCTTTTCATGCGAGATTGCTGCTCTTCAATCTGAGAGTTGAGCCTCGCCACTTCCTCCGCATTCCTGGAAAATGTGTAAAATTCACGTTTCAAACCTTCAAAGTGAATATCAAGTATACAACTTCGATAACTTCACCTTCTTATGTCAAATAAGTTCACGGGAATATGTGCAAAAAGGGAATTTGTTATATTTATATATAGGCAAAGGAGAGAGCGAATATAACAATTAACTATTAATTATAACAGATTTATAATAGAGTCTCATTAATAGTTTTTAATTAACTTTAATGTTTGCGTTGCAAAACTCACTGCTCGTTGCTCTTAGTTTCCGAAAACTTCCTCGTCTCGATTTCGGCGCTGAGTTCCTGCCTCTTCTTCTCCAGCACCATCTTCTCCTGCTCCGTGGCCGCCCGCATTTTCTGTAAACTCTCCTTGGTCGCCTGCTGACCCAGAAACCGGTTCAGAACTTCCTCGGATCTGGACACTCCGGTAGCGTTCCGCAGCTTGGCGAACGTCTCCTCCAGCCGCGTCAATTCGTCCTTGATAATGTCCTCATGCGCCTGTACGCGACTCTTCCCACGTGTTGCAAAATCGCCCCGCGGACGAGTCTGGAATATCATGCGTTCCAGTCGCTCCAGTTCCATCTTCCGCTCCGACACGCGCTGTCTGAATCGCGTGCGAGAATACAAAAAGGCGTTAAAGCGACAGTTATTTTATTCAGAAAAATTTTACGAGAAAACTCTGTCTTAGTATTAGTTCAACAAGTGAGTGTAGCCGAGAAATAATTCCAAGCGTCGTATAATCCGCAAACCTGTACTCTTTGATGATCGAGTCGCGTTTCTTGCTAGAATTTGTCTCCTCGATCTCCTCTCTCACCAGAGTCTCCTGAGTGCTGTCTCTTAATTCGATGGCTTCCTCCTTCACTCCCTGCAATCAATGGCGGCGCTGAGCGTAACGTCTCATTAAAGCGTTTCTATTAGTCACCTCGCGTCATTACTACAGCTGGTTACTCTCCTTCTCCCTTGCCTGTAAGCGTCTGATCTCATTCTCTTGCTGCCTGATGTCGTCCTCCAGATCCTTCAGAATGGAGGCGTAAAAGACCGACTTCTCTTTCAACTCGGAACAGACGGAGCGGTACTTCATGCGGGTGATATTATTTTTAATTTGCATCATTCGAATGCGCTCCAGCTGAACCTCCAGACTCTCGATTTTCTGCTCGAACCGGTTTGTTCTTACAGAGATCGTCGGTTAGATCGAATACCGCATAAATTTAAGATTAAATTACCTTCTTCATTGGATTTTCGGTTTTCTTCGCGAATACGCAATGGCCACGTCTGCGCTTTAAGTCTTTACACTCTGTTCGTAGAACGTTCAAAGTGTGCTTGTGCTAACGGAATGCAGATGTGTTAATACGTACGTTCTCTTATTGTTATTTATGTGCTATGATTCCGAAACAATACTTTATCTACCTTTTCCCTCTCGTACTTAATCAGATCCAGTTTCTTTCTGAGACGCACGTTATTCTCAGTCGCCGTGGCTAGTATTTCCTCCAAATTACATTTATTCGTACACGCTATGGAATCGCGACTCAGCAGAGCGGCGCGTTCTATCGCTTCCTTGTTCTGAAACGTTCAACGTTAGCTCGCGCTCGTCTATATATAGTATTTTATTCGCAATTTACGCTTTACATTTTTTGCTCTGGCATATTTCACGTAAAGTTCTTTGACGTCTTTCTTGAGATCAGCGATTCTCTGAATGTTTTCTTGTTTCTTCGCATTGTATTCCTCAAAATTGGCTTTTCTCTGGCCCTCTAGACGCAGAAGAAAACGATTATAGTTTTTATATTATTTTTTCTGTAGAATTGAATAAAATAACTTATTTTATTTCACCAAATAAATACGCGAAATAGACTTTTTATTCTATAATTTACATCTGTATATATACGTAACAACCTAAGCGATTATCGCAAGACATTACGCTAATGATAGGCTGCTATCGTTTCTTCTTAGGTGAACTTCAAAGAGAGAAGAAAACCAAGTCGTAGCGGTTGCTTGCGCAAGTAAGTAAGGCTCGGGCGGTACGTTAATTCAATCTCTGTCACGGGAAATGCGAATGTTACCACACGAAGAAGGAAAACCTAAGCACCGTGGCTGCGTATTACCGTCTTTGGAATTCTGCGTGCCACGTGCGTAAGTACAAAAGATAAAGCGGCAACTTGCAGAACGGCAACTTTGCGAAGTGACTGACTGCGTTCGAAGTATGCGTCGGGTATACGTCGATAGATAAACTCTATTCAACTGTCTACTGACTCGCTGATGGCGAGATCTATGAAAGCCAATCTATTCAACGCTTGTCACTATCAAAACTACTTATTATTTGTGTCAGCCGACGTCTAACGTTTGGCTCATTAAAGCAAACATACTCGGGGAAGTTTCAAGAGAAGAAAGAAATTCATTCATGCCAGAAATTTTATCTCAGAAGTTTCATTAGAACGCTTTGATTAGAAGAACACTTAAATGTTATTTAACGTAATTAATTAACTGAACGTTATTTGACGTAAATAGAAATTATAAAAAAATAATCTTGCTTTACAAAGCAGACTAAAATAAAACGGAGTATTTCGTGACGACGTTTCGAATTGATAATTGCATGCATTCAAGGGACGCAACGTTTCTCTTCTCCCTCGGCATTGTTTTATACAACACGTTTTATTCGAACCGCGCCCCATCACAAGTTTGTTTTCTTTTTTATTTCACTCTTTTGCCGCTATTTTATGTATCTCGAATACTGGTTCTTCCAGTTCGACTTGTTCATGTTTATTATTGTATGACACGATCTCCTGTCTCCGCACTGTCGGTGAGCTGTCTCTTTTTGACACGTCTTGTTTTGTGGTGCAACAAAATCATCAGCATTTTAAAATACACGGTGTCTCACATTTTCTTATATAACAAACTGCTCGATCGAAGCTGAGATCGATTAGCAATCACAGCAACTCTTATGTGACAACGTATTTTGAAGTCTGAACATTAGAGTACAAGGTTGATTTTAAATCAACTGAAATATCGGTTACTAAAAATTTCTACACCAAAGACACCCTGTATAAATCTAAGATCTGACTCAGCAACTCTGTTACGGCGCAATGTACGGCAGCATTGACTTGCGCGCAGAACTTGTCAAGAACGGTATAAATTAGCGAAGGATGTTTTGTGCAATTTGAGCCGTTACCTGACAACTGGATTTTCTTCTTGATCTCAACGATCTTTTTATTGAGCTCGTTCAACTTGTTCTCGGTGACGGATAAAGGCTCGGACATGTTTTCGCTAATGTGAAGGGGTGTCCACGTGGAACGCCGTATCGACCTAATAATGCCGGTCGTCGCCTGGACGACTCGAGTCTACGTTTCCTACGCGCACGTTAAAAGGAAACGCGGCGCGAACAATTCAAGTGTGAGATAATAAACATTTTATAACTTAAATAATACTAATAATTAATTTCTGTATTTTTTAATTTAATATACTTTAAATACCATTTATTATCTACTTTATTAAACAACGTTACGCGTTAAAACCATTTCAAGAATAACATATTTCAATCTATTTTTTTAGGTAAAATCAAATGATTTTCTTTATTATTCAAAATGCGTCGAGTCTCATCAATTTGATGTTCCGCCTTTGCGCCCCTGCAAGACAATAGCAGTAGCTGCGTCCGCATCGTCGTCGTTGTCGAGAGAGCGCAGATGTTTGCAGTTCGATGATAAGGTTAATGGCACCATTAATAAGGCTAATGGGAAGCGCGTGTTTGCAGCTTCGTGCGCGCATCTCGCGTGCTGCGGGCACAAAAGACTTAGAAGCGATTCGTAAGGGCTCCCTCCTTTGCCCGAGAGGAGGAACGGGTCTTAAGACCGAGAGGGAGAGAGTTCACCGAATTATAATTCCGCATTTGTATTCGTTAGGTTGACCGGCGGGGCTGCGGCCGCGATGAATTTCGCGTTACACGCAATCAAGCGCAGCCGAGCGTTAATTAATGATCGGGCGCGCTGTATGCGCTCCTCTCGGTGCGCTGACCGCTACTCGTTGCGTTTATTGGCGCCTCAAGCCGCTCGTAACCAGCTGCTTATGCAGGAGGAGCAGGTTTGTATGTGTGTATGTGTGTATACAAGAGAGACAAACAAAAAAGTGCATATCCGTATTAATACGAATATCCTGACGCTAATATCGACCGGTCGTTGCTTAATGCAAGCAAACATCGATGCTCGATTGAGATTCCTGAACTGGAACGTGTTGCGCTTTTGTACGTCGTGTTCGTCTTATCGTCGATTCACATGCAGTCCGTACGATATAATTACGCATAAGTTTTGCAGCAAATAGCGGAAGGAAAAAAAATGTCGCGATAAGTAAATAGATTCTATATAATAAATATAAGAAAATGCGCGCGTGGGAGAGGGAAAAGAGGTCGCTTGCTCTTGTTTTTTTTTCTATCGTTTTCGCACGAAACGAACGCCTGATCGCAAAAATATAGAACGTTTTTTTTTTTTTTTTTTTACTCGCACTCTAATTAAGGCAGATCGTTCGCACGCGATTAAATTAACATTGTAGAAAAAAGAAATATCAGGTATTAATTAGAGACACCTTTCACATGGGATGTAATGGGACTCGTCGTTAAGGATCCGTGAATAAAGTGCAAACATTAATTATATTCCGGCTCGGCGATCCGGCAGCTATTTTTTGGCGGGGACGCGTAATACAAATTGCTCACACGGTAAATACAATTTTCTTAATTTCGGTATTTTATATCAAGCATTCGATAACTCGCAATTTATATTTCTTAAGCATTGTGAAATAATTGAGCTCTTTGTTCGAAAAAATAATTTCGACTCCGAAAAAAATTATTAACAACAAACATGCTCTCTTTTTCGCGTACATTCACTTTGCAAACAACTTTATACGCACAAAACATCAAGGAAACAGGGAACCCAATGTAATATAACAAACATCTCTTTATTTGATCTCAAATCAGACAACGTTGGTACAAAAACAAACACATTTGGACAAATATTTCGAGGCTCCATTTTGCTTATCGTCGTCTAAAACGTCAAACAACTTCAAGTCGTACGGCGGCTGGCGTAGGTTGTGCTGCGGTCGCGCAATTCCGCTGTAGTCGCTCGTTGATTCGCGGTTGCGGTCGGCCATCTTGCCGCGGCGTATTAATACGTCGCGCGGAGGCAGGTGCGCGCGCACCGCGGAACTACTTTCAGCGCGTTACGCGAACAATAAGGGTCCCCAGAAGTGTTTCGGACGCGGTCGTGCTCGTTGTACGTGTCGTGATCGTGTCGCTTTTTTTCAACCGCGACCGGCCCCGCGAAGTACGTGCACGCACTTGAAGGGGAGAAGTAAAACGACATCCTGCGACGTGTAATAATAACGTGACGCGTACGATGCGTCCGATCAAGTGACGCCGTCGGAAAGATAAACGCTCCTCTCGTCGACATTTCGGACACAGTGTTTCGCGCGCCGGTGAGTGGTGTTCCGTCCGTTCTTTAACCGTGTGTGAACCCCGTTTCCTCCCCCCCGATGAGTGTGTGTCTACCCGCGGCGTGTTGTGGATAATTTGAAAGTAATTACACGCGGCGATCATGTTACTGTCACGATTGGATTACTCTGCCCTGACGATCAGAGCGTCGCTCTGGACGTTGATGTTACTGGTGGTCCATTGCAACGTACCTGCGGTGTCTGGTAAGTCAAAACTTTTTTTTTCTCGCATATTTACGCGCTCCGGCTCAGTACTAGGCAACAGGTTGCGGCGACACGACGCCGAGCGCCGGCGCGCCGACGCCATTTATTGATACCCTCGAAATTCCATTTGAGCAACGCGTCTTCGAGCAAAAGACTCTCCCTCGTTCCCTCACCGGACCCCTAGTCCTGGCCCCTCGTGTCTCTCGACGTCCGACATTGCTGCGCTCGCTTTACCTGCTCGTCTGTATACTACCTGTCTCGAAAATATCGGCCGCCATTTTGCTACGAATTGCTTTCCGCGAAGCAACGCGAGAATCCGTTCGTCAAAATTTTTATAAATTTTGCTACAAATTATATCGGCGAACAGTTTTCAAAATCAGTTTTGTAGACGAGTGTTATTCAAAATAAAATAAAAGAAAGCAAAAACACGTAGGATGCGCGAAGATGTTTATCGTAACCGAGTCTCGGTTTTTTTTGCGAGCGCAAATAGTTTTATTATCGAAGTTTTCAATTTGCTCGTGTTTTTGGATGATGTAATGCTGTCAATGTTGTCTAGAGCTTTGTCGAAGACGCGTCTTCTGCGCGCCATCGAAAACGCATTTCGGAAAATACAGCTTGTCGAAATTTTGCTCGCGTTTGACAATCATTTGACAGTTGACAATCGCACGCTCCATTTTCGCGTTGCACGTGGAGGTGTGTTTAGCAACGGCAGGGGTGCTCATTCGCATCGTGACGTGTTGAGAGACACGGGGATCCGCGCGCGCAGGGCCCCTCTCTTTTTCTCTCTCTCTCTCTCTCTCTCTCTCTCTCTTTCTCTCTCTCTCTCTCTCCAGGTTAACAGACCCTGGGGGACAGGTGCCCAGCCCCGCTTTCCAGGAAACGGCCATCCCTCCTTCTCTGCGCATTCGCGCTCCGACTCGACATTTCGCTGCTGCTGCTCCCTCGGTGAGCGCACGAAATGGGGAACCGTGTAGGCCTCTTCTCTCTCTTTTTTTCTTTCTCTCTCTCTCTCTCTTTTTCTCTCTTTCGCAGGAACCGCATCCTGTTTTGACCCTCCTCGGCATGAAACGCGCTCAACGAACACGCCTGTGATTTAGGGTTGCGAGGTAGGTAAATGCGCGATACGAGAAAATAACGTAATATAATTTGCTTTTTCTTTTTGTTACGAACCTGTGAAGAAAAACAAAAGACTGAAAACTCTCTCGCTGGAGACGCTGGAGTTAATTTTTCGTGGAAGTCAGTTAGAATCGCAAATGCGTTCGTGACGAATTCTCGGTTAATTGAGGGTTAACGAAATGCATGAATCATAACGATATATAACTGCGCACATTCGCCGGCGCTCGTTGCGTGGTGCAATTCTGGGCGCGATAATAACAACGTCCGCGTTCTGAAAATTACGTATGAGCGCAAAATCCCTCGCTACTACGCGCCTCTGCCCTCCATTATGCGCATTTCGCCAGAGGAACCGTTTAGATATTTAAAACGCTTTTAACATAGTTGTCGGGAGGTGTCAGATTTTAACTCATTTTCTCTTTTTCTCTCTCTCGTGAGAATTTCACGTTTCTTACATACAAAATCAAACACTTCTCCATCTCGCACCGTAATTCGCGGCGTATTGCAATGATTTGGCAGAAACGGAAATGACACTTGTGAGAACGTGACCTTTCTCGAACAGAGGAAGAACATCAAATTACAATAACGTTACGAAGTATAAAGCGCGCGAACTGTTTTAATTGAACGCGAGGTATTTAAATTCGCGCGAAATTTTTACGAATTCGGAGCAATTGCGTTTTCATATCTCTCAAGTGTAAAGAGAAAGAAAAAGAGTTTCGATGGAAGAAAGAAGAAATTGTTGACTCTCTCGCTTTAAGGATAAATTCATCTTGACTTTTCGCCATAACGTAAATCGCGGCTTTTAACGTGACGCAACAACGTGATGCCATGAATAAACCGCCGCGTTAAAAAAAAAAAAAAAAGAAAAAAAGACGAATAAGGAAAGTGAAGTCCAACAGGAAAGACAGAAGAATAATTACGATCCACGCGCATTGTAGCTATTATAAATTATCTCTGACTTCTCGAGTCTGGCATTTAAATTGCGTTGTACGTTTTACATCGATACATTTTTAATGTCTTCTGATTGCGTTGATTGATTCAAGTTTGCATCGGAGATGTATTTTTGCGAGCGTTAAAAAAATTGATCCAGAAATTAGTCAATCTTCGCGTGGTGTATTCCGCTCTCCTCTCCCTCTCCTTTCGAAGGATCTCCTCGTCCTTTGCTCGCTACATCTGTTGATGTTAGTATGGCGGTCGCGGCGCGTTCTAGACGCTCGCCCGATCTTATGTTCTCAGGCTTTCTCTTCTCTCTTTCCTTAGAAACTGATCCGCCCGGGCTTAACGTGCTTTCACACGAGAGACACGCGGTTGTTCGCCGCGGACAGACAGACACCGGTGTGCAAGGGGTTACATTTCGCGGATATCAAAAATACCGTCGCGAGATATCGCGCCGAACGCGTCCGGAATCACGCACATGAGAGACGCGGAATAAATATCGATATTAGCGTCGATATTTCGTGCGAAAGTC